TTGTTTTTGCTTTAAATATGTGACTGCAAGACTACCCATGCTGGTCAGTGTTGATGGATGTTGTGGCCCCAACATCCTTCTCTGCAGATCCAGGACCTTCAGCTTCAGCTTTCTGGCCTCCTCATATTTTCCCTGTTTGAGTATGTGACTGCAAGATTTGCCATGCTAATCAGGTATTATGGATGTTCTGGCCCTAACATCTTTTCACTCAAATCTAGTTCCTTCAGCTGCAGTTTCTCAGCCTCTTCATATTTGCCTTGGTCTAAATATGTTCCTGCAAGATTAGCCATGCTAATCAGTGTTAATGGATGTTCTGGCCCAAGCACCTTTTTCTGCAGATCCAAAACATTCAGCTGCAGCTCCTCAGCCTCTTTATATTTTCCTTGCATTGAATATGTTCCAGCAAGATTAGCCATACTGGTCAAGGTCCTTGGATGTTCTGGCCCAAACATCTTTCTTTGTAGATCCAACACCTTCAGCAGCAGCTCATTAGCCTCCTCATATTTTCCTTTGTCTGAATATGTTCCTGCAAGATTTCCCATGGTAATGAGTGTTGATGGATGTTCTGACCCAAGTGCCTTTTTATGCAGGTCCAAAGCCTTCAGCTGCAGCTCCTCAGCCTCATCATATTTTCCCTGTGCTGAATAGGTGACTGCAAGATTTCCCATGCTAATCAGTATTGATGGATGTTCTGGCCCAAGCACCTTTTCACTCAAATCTAGTTCCTTCAGCTGCAGTTTCTCAGCCTCTTCATATTTGCCTTGGTCTAAATATGTTCCTGCAAGATTAGCCATGCTAATCAGTGTTAATGGATGTTCTGGCCCAAGCACCTTTTTCTGCAGATCCAAAACATTCAGCTGCAGCTCCTCAGCCTCTTTATATTTTCCTTGCATTGAATATGTTCCAGCAAGATTAGCCATACTGGTCAAGGTCCTTGGATGTTCTGGCCCAAACATCTTTCTTTGTAGATCCAACACCTTCAGCAGCAGCTCATTAGCCTCCTCATATTTTCCTTTGTCTGAATATGTTCCTGCAAGATTTCCCATGGTAATGAGTGTTGATGGATGTTCTGACCCAAGTGCCTTTTTATGCAGGTCCAAAGCCTTCAGCTGCAGCTCCTCAGCCTCATCATATTTTCCCTGTGCTGAATAGGTGACTGCAAGATTTCCCATGGTGGTCAGGGTTGATGGATGCTTTGTCCCCAGCTTCTTTATCCTCATTTGTAGAATTTGATATTGAAGATGCTCTGCATCTTTCCACATTCCATTTTCATGCAAGACATATCCAAATCTGGAATATTCATCATCATCAAACACAGTTTCAAAGCTGTTTTCCCCTTGTAACTGGTAATTGGCTTTGATGTGTGGTACAAGAAGCCTATTGAGTGCAATGTTATCAGCTGTTGTTTCCTCCTCCTCTGTAACAGAGTTCACAAGTATTAGTTTTGACACTTGCATCATGCACTTCTTTTGTGATATTGACATTCTATCTCTACTCCATTTATGCACCAAAGGATGAATAGCATAAATTCCTGAAGAGGCTGAGATCTGTTTGATCAAAGAAAATGATATAAGAACCCTAATTCCTTCATGAAAGAAGAATTGATTCCAAGACTGATCTTTTTCTAGCTGAAGCAATTGATTGATACAGGTTTCAACCTCTCGTTCCAGTCTTCTGTGTTGATGTTTAGAGAATTCCATAGCAGCCTTTCTAAAAGCAGCCTCAATGAGATTCTCATGATGTAGAAATGCAGCAGTTTCAAGAATCAGAATTGCAGCCTGAGCAGCTGCTCTACCATGTTCATCAGATTCATTGTTTGCCATTGACTCAATTTTGTTAAATGATAGATCCCATGTTTCATAGGCTGTGCGGTCATAATGGGATGCCCCTCTAAATGAAGGATGGTTCATCAACTTCTTTCTATGTTGAGAGAGATGCTCAAGGTAATTATCAATGCTGCAGAGACCAGCTTCAATGGAAGCTCCTGCTTGATCAACAGCTAGAGGTAAGCAGCAGAGCTCATTTACAATCTGCTGAGCTATATTGTGGACATTGTCTGACTGCTCAGTTAGATGGCTGGCTTTCAGCAGAAGTAATATGGCATCTGCTTCAGCCATCTGATCAATTTCAAGAGAGTTTTCATAAGATGTAACACGCCCAAGAGATCGGTTTCTGCTAGTAACCAGAATATTGCCCAGAGAACCAGATGGAATAAATTTCTCTACAACTTCAGGAGCACCATCAGCACTGTCAAACACAAGCAGCCATTCACTCTGCAGAGATCCAATCCAGATAAGAGCAGACTCAGAGGACACAGAGACACCAGCAGCTTTAGCCTCACGATGAAAGCAAAGACTTTTTAAACCAAGAACAATGGTACCTTCAGAAGATGCATCAATCCAGAAAACATGGGAGAATCTAGATGTACTTGTTATAAGATCAAAAATATAGTGTGTAATGAAACTTACCTTCCACCCATCTTCTCAACAAACTTCAGACAGATCTGTGTCTTGCCAACACCTCCCATGCCATATAACAAAAATGATTTTCTGCATTGATCTCTCTGACGGTGACCCTGAGGGGCAAAGTGATCCATCAGCCTCTGGAGAACATCCTCACAGCCTGTAAATAAGGGACTTGAATTTGGTCTTTGGGGAACAATGGGTAAATCATCTTGAACCCTGCTGGCATGTTCATGAACCTCAATCTTGACAAAAAGTCTAATCAATATCTCAAACCATCAATGCTGTTGTCAGAGTACACACATTTTGAGCCACATAGAATGTTGTATCCCTTATAACAAAGTTGTGAGCTCCCGGCAATACATTCTGATCCCCAAAACAAAATGTCACGGTGAGCCAAAGAATGTAGTCATGTATTGTAAACACACACCAGAGTTGCTCCCCCTAGCGCCCTTGTAAATGTCGACCTGAATCTCGTCAGCATGCTATCTGACAGCGAGTCATGAACTCCGACCTGGAACCGCTGGGGAGTGGGCTTTCAATGCGTAGGCGGTCTGCGCCCATGAGTCGGTCAAGCAATCCCTTAAACGTGGCCTTCAGACTGTTTTCGTGGGGGCGATTGGGATCAGACATGGTGGTTCAAAAGAGAGTTGCCGTGTGGCGTGCCTACAACTTGTTACCAGGCATAGCCTCACCATGTCATCTGACAGCTTGAGGGTCGGTCACGAGCCTCGTAAAGGTCCAAATGTCATCACGTATCAAATACAACATTGAAAAGGTGGTGAAGGATTAGAAATAAATAAATTAGATAAAAGTGACACGGTGTAGAGAAGGGGGACCAACGTTCAACGCTACTATATCAGCTTGTCGCGATCCCCGTTGAACGTTGAAGTGGCTGTGGCTGTGCCTCATATATCTTTTCACCGCAACTGGCACCTCAGAAAAAATAACTCAGGTTGCATAACTCGAAGTTGAGTAGGGCTAATGCGTAGCTCTCTCTTCTTTCATGAGTGAGTACACCAATCCCGTTTTCTACTCTGAGTCGACACACCCACCAAGTACTTCTGATCGATTTAGCATTTCAAGGTTTCAACCCAGTCATTTGATTTTGGGAATCGTACGACTGCTACAGGGAACGTACACTGTTCAATTGACCTCGAGCCATACAAAACCCCGGCCAACGGCTCATTCACGAGGATTGCTCACCAGTCAAGTTCCCCGTTACCCAGGTCCATCTCACTCTACTTGATCTATTCACCGGCTCTACCATATTTGTATTGAACTTCACCAGTGACCACGGATATACAATAACCTCTCGGGAGTCGGGAACTTGAACTTACTCGAGGTCACCTTTGACGGTGTCTTGTGACCTACCACGCTGGAGCCGTGCAATTCGGCGTTTGTGGTACGTATCCGTGGTTGATTTGATTGGTGATGACGGAGATGTTGTAGGACCCGTTCTCTCTCCGAGTTGTGGGTTTGTCAAGAACACTGCGGTTGAACGGAGGGGATGAGGATGACGTTGTGTGGTGCCACTTCGATTACTGCAGCTGTCAGTGGGGGGCTACGATTGTGAGTTTTACTGTTGTTATTCAGGCAGTAAGTAATGATCGCTCCCCTGATTTTTGAAGAAAAATTTTCAGCATGTCACACTGAGGACGGTACTCGATATGGTTAACGTTTGGACTCCCATGCCAAACGCACAAGTGCCAGTGGCTCATTTCACTGATTATCGATAGCCCTTACCCTAAAGCTAAGAGCTTCCATCCTCATTTCATTTTTCATCTTTCTTCCATTCAATGCGACTGAACTTTCTTTCTTTAGGACACACACATGGCGATTGGTGACTCACCAGCCTCGTGGCACAAGCACACAGCGCCCATCGAGGGCCGAGGCTGATACCGTAACGACCACCCCAGCCCAGGTCCTGCACAACCTCATTTGAGCAACCACCTGGCACTAACGCCCACATTTGCTTGCTTATTATAGATCCAAACCGGACCCTTGCTATGCCAGAGTCTAATCCTCATGTTTCTTGTCGTGCGTCCATCCAGAAAACGGATCAGATGATACAAATGTACCCCGCACGCTCGCCCCGCATCCCGCAAAAACACGCCGCCCGCAAGCTCGAACACGCCGCCCCGTGTTTAGAGGCTCAAACACGCCGCCCACAGGTGTTTTTGGGATTCTCAGGCTGCCTAAAGTCCAGACAGGTGCCTAAGCTTTAACGAGACTTGAGCCAGGGTCGGTGGGCATAATGGCGTCTCGTTTTCCCCAAAGCTCCTCGTCCCCCGGGTTCTGACTTATCTCTGTGTTTATAAGCACAGGGTTCCGAAGTGTTTGTGCACTTCGGAATCGGGCAGGCTCAGCCGAAAGGACTGCGGAAGTGCCGGCTTCTTCATGCAGGGAACGTTTACTATGAGATGAAGCTGCACACCTCCATTCATTCCAGGGAATCTCAGTACATGTTTGTTCGAGCAGCTCAACGTGTATGACCAGGTGATGTGCACCTAGAATCTATTGTTTTCTGATTCCGCTCTATGTGCGTAGGAAGTAGCAAGTGGTGTCCTTATCGATTGTACTATGGGACAGATATAAATTCAGGATGATATTAGTATCGGTCTTTCTCGGTTCTTCTAGCATTGTAATGTTATAGTCTACGATCGGGGGGGTGACCAAATATAGGACACTGTACCTCTGACACGTGTTGTTCATCCTCCGATCTCCTTGAATAACCGCATCACCTAAATCTTTTTCACTTCTTCTTCCCCGTCTTCCTCCCACACACACACACACTATGCCTCCTCCACCTCCACCCCCTCCACCACTCTGCTTCAACCTCCCAGGCAGCAAGAAACAAAACCGCCGCCTCAGCTGGTCGAGCGCTGACAAAAGCATGACTAGTTACCGTGGAGACCACCTTGACAAACAATCGTCTTTCTCATCCACACCCACCGTCCCAGGCGCCCGCCCCGAGAGTATAACCTTCCACTCCGATTCAGAGAAATATGACGAAGTACCCGACGCGATGCCTGGCTTTACTTCCGTTACTCCTGGCAAATCAAAGCTGGCACGCGGGAATACGATGACGGGTACCAAAAAGTCTACGACGTCGAGTAAGTGGGGGTATGGATGGGGCGTCGGGAAGCGGGACAAGGATTTGGGGGATGGGGATGAGCAAGAGCAAGAACATGAGGGCGAGTCGGGGACCACTATGTATCGTGTTGCTCCTGTCAGACGGGACAGCAAGTCCTCACAGAACAGCCGATCGACGCAGAGGACGCAGGATTCGAATAGAACGCAGAGTAGCTCTGCGACGAAGACGTCTCATCAGTCTAGGCAGACGTATCGGAGTAATGGGAGTCGGTCGACTGCGCCTAAACCTCGTCCTCCGCTTTTACACGCCCATGATTCGACAAGCACCTTGGTTGGATCGGCTTATGAGAGGAAGATTAATGATGTGGAGAGTATTAAGGAGAAGCCGGATACGACGGAGAGGTTGGATCAGTTGAGGGAGTTGATGGCGAAGGATACGTTGGATTATTAGTGCGTTTTTCAAAACCCGATTTCATATTTTAGAAGGCTGACGTGTTGATTGGGATAGTGTTGTGCCTACTGAAGATGCCCATCAGTCTGAATACGTCTCTGCGAGTGACAAGCGACGAGAGTTCATCTCCGGGTGAGTCGTCCTTCGCTCTCCTTCTTCACAAGAATCTAAACCTATTTCCTATCTAGATTCGCGGGGTCAGCAGGCCAAGCAATCGTATCAAAAACATCCGCATATCTGATCACCGACTCGCGGTACTGGCTACAAGCTCAAGAACAGATAGACGAGAATTGGAAACTCATTCCTGCCGGGAAAGCCGGCGAACCGAAGGATTGGATCGAGTGGATTGTTGTAAGTATTTTTCTTTTCTTTTTCTTGAATGCTTTCAAATACAGGTCACTTATAGGGACGAGTCAAAGGAGCTAGGATAGGCATCGACGCACGCATGCTCTCACACGAAAAAGCCACGCTGTTAAACACGAAACTCGCTCCACTGGATTCTAAACTCGTTTACCCGCCTCAAAATCTGGTTGACCTTGTATGGAGGGATAAACCGCCCAAACCTAAAGAACCTGTGTATGAGCAGGGGACTGAGTTTACTGGTACGTTTTTCTTCTTTGGTGTGGTGTTTTGTGGGAAGGACTGACGGGTTGATTGGACGAACAGGAAAAGATGCACATTCCAAGCTTTCGGAGATTAGACATTGGATAAGACAACAGCCTGCTTCTACCTCCACGTTTTCAAAGGGCGACCCGACGCCTGCACAGATCCACGTTGGGACGCTCATCACGTCGTTGTCTTACATTGGTGCCTATCAACCCTCAATTCTTTAATTGTAAACCCAGCTAAATTTTACTCTCTTATAGCATACACATTGAATTTACGCGGCTCAGACATCCCATATAACCCGCTCTTCCATGCATACCTGTTCGTAAGCCTCGACACGGCCGTCCTATTCCTCGACTCGTCAAAAGTCGTGGATCGCTTGTCGGAGTACTTAAAGAGGATAGCGGTCGAACGGAGGGATTATACGGACTTGTGGCCGTTTTTGAGGAAGAGGGAGTGGGGTGATGGCAAAGTGAGTTGATTCGTCTTTTTTTTTTGGAATGAAGAGAAAAGCTAATTGGATTGTAGATACTCCTTTCGCCCCAGACGCCCTATGCGATATCGTTGATGTTGACGCATTATCGGTATACGATTGCGCCTTCGCATATTGAGCATATGATGTCGATTAAGAATGAGACTGAGATTGAGTGCATGAAACGCGCGTATTTAAGGGATGGAGTTTCTTTTGTACGTTTCCTTTCTTTCCCCTCTCTTCCACCTCTTTCCTTGCTTACATCCTCATTAGGTCCGTTTCCTAGCGTGGCTAGACCAAAAGCTCAACGACGGCTACGACATCACAGAATACGAAGCTGCGTCTCGATTGACGGAGTTTAGGCGGAAGAACAAGAATTTCATGGGATTGGCGTATGAGAATATATCAGCTAGTGGACCGAACGCTTCGTTGCCTCATTATTCGCCCAAGAGGTCTACGGCGAGGATGATTGATCGGGAGACGCCTTATCTCAAGTACGTTTTCTCCTTGGCTGCATTATTGTGATTGAACTAAATCACTTCTAGTGATTCGGGAGGACAGTACAGGGACGGAACTTGTGATACGACAAGGACTGTACATTTCGGCCGACCGTCGGCGGAGCAGTCTGAGGCGTATACTAGGGTGTTGCAAGGGCATGTACGTTCAGTTCTTTCTTTCCCACCTTGCGCGACCCGTTTTTTGCTAACTTAACCTTGGGTAGATTGCGATTGACAGTGCGATTTTCCCGGAGGGTACGTCCGGCCAGCAGTTGGACGTGCTTGCTAGGAAGGCTTTATGGAAGGAGGGGTTGAATTACTTGGTTCGTCTTTCCTTTGGCCTTTGGATGGATGGGGTAGGCCTGATTAATTTGTAATGCAGCACGGAACGGGTCATGGGTTTGGGTCATTCCTGACTGTCCATGAGGGCCCACAGAGCTTCTCGAGCAGCGTGCCGTTGGTTGCTGGTCACGTCATTACTAACGAGCCTGGGTATTGTGAGTTCCCCTTTTCTTATTCGCCACACGAGGACATGCGGCTGATAAGCGGATTACGTCAGATAATGAGGGTAGATGGGGCATGAGGATTGAGAGTGCGCTTGTTGTTCGTCGTGTCAAGGTGAGAGTTTTTTTGATTGCTTTGGTTGGTTGAGAGTTGTGCTGATTGTGGGATAGACGAAAGGCGAATTCAACGGCGACACTTGGTTAGGCTTTGAGAGGCTTACTTGTGTGCCTATACAAACTAGGATGGTGAAGGAGAGTATGTTGACCAAGGAGGAAAAGGCGTGGTTGAAGGTATGCCTTCATCTAGTCCCTTCAAGTTGAGTAAAGGGGAAGTGACTAACGATGCGTTTGGAATGCAGGAACATAATCAGCGTTGCTTGGAAAGGCTTTCTCCCCTTTTGAAGGAGGATAAGCGGGCGATGACGTGGCTGAAACGAGAGGCTGCACGTGGGATTGGGTTGGCGCCTGCTGCGGGAGGCGTTAGCATTGAATGGGACTGATACTGCTCAACCTCTGCGGGACTGATACCCTACCTCCGCACAACCCCTGCGATACCTACCTGGACACCCCACAGGACACACAGAACGATTGGATTGACAGGATATATTTACGTTACCCTCCTCTTCCTCTTCTCACCCCCACTCCTCCTTTCTTTCTCCTGGATACCTTCCCCATCCCTCATAGACGGGTCTCATTCACGATCTCACAGGATATTCTCTCGCAGAGGGAGTGCTTGCGAGTCTATAGAATCTCTTCTTCCCCTCCTCCTTCTCTTTCTTTTCCGTATACTGATCCCTAATTTAATCTTTTCTCTTCTCTCTTTGTATACTATGTACTTCTACCTACCTACCTATACCGTTACCGCGAAAACTCCTTTACCCACGTTTCCTTGTTATTATACACGTTTCTTTTACGGTAAACACAAAACTTTTGCTACTTACCCTCTTGTTTGATCTATCTACTTATATATACGCACAGTCTGTCTAGATGATGGGCTCTTAAAGGAATGGATGATACACGTTGCTCAGTACGGGAATATAAACCTTTCATATACACACGATGGACGACAGGTAGTAGATACGTATGCAAGTAGAATAGACAGCAACCATCTATCGTCTCTGGGTCTTTCCACCCTTGCGTTTGCCAGCGAACAAATGTTTTGGCTGTAAAGTAACACCATCAGTTCATGCCACCAACTGAATAAACACGTCTCCAAGAACCCTACCATTTTGGTTTTGATCGTACGATCGCCCTCTCCCGCTTTCGCCAGCATATTGCGAGGTCTTTGACCGAGGTTGCGTAGTTTGACTGCACGAGCTGCTTGCTAGAAGAAAAGAAGGTATGTTTGTCAGACATGAAGGAAAGACGACAAAAGAACCCGAAACTCACCCCTTCGTCCCGCATACCAGCCAAATGACGATGTGACCTCGGCTCACGCCTATTCACCACCCCACCCGAGTTGGTCTTTGACCGTTTCTTAGAAGCCCCCTCACCATCCACGTCCATCCAACTCTCCTCTCCCCCGTCCTCCTCCTCATCATCATCGTCGTCATCCATATCCACATCCTCATCATCACCGCGTTTCCGTTTGGCACCCTGGATCTTAGCAAGCATCTCCGCACGTTCTTGGATACGGCTCGGGTCCAAACCGGCTTTAGTCAGCCCTTCCGTGAGCTCCGTGAGCGTTCGTAGCCCGGCGGTACGTGGTAGTCTTGATTGATTCTTCTTTGACTTTTTGATGCTTTGCGATTGGATTTTGTGCGAGAGGGCGATGGTGGCTGCGGCTGCTTCGCGTTCGTCGTCCGAGTCGAACTGGTGAAAAAAAAAAAAGGAAGAGTTGGGTGAGTGGTGTTTGAGAAAAGAAAAGAAAAGAGGAAGGAAGGGGGTGCAAACCATGTCTTCTTCAGAGTCGTAGAACCCTTCGGCTTGTAGTTTTTCTTCTTCACGTTCTAGAGCTTCTAGCTTCTCGGCGATGTCTGGATCGATAAAGTCGGCGACGTTCTTGCCGTCCATGATTTCGGGTATGATGTCCATCTTCCACTCGGGGTTGGCAAGGAGGTAGTTCTCTGTGTAAAGTAGCGTTAGCTAAGGAAGTAGGAGAAAAAACGAGGATAAAACGAACGTTTCATGTTGATGTTGAATACACCAGGCCCACCTTCCACCAACTCAATATCACGTTGAAGCTGACGACGATCCGGGTCATTCTTATCATATTTCTTCTTCCCCTTCACCGCTTCAGGGATGAACGGAGCCCTCACAACGTCGTCCCGTGCTTTAGGCTGAGCGACGTGGATGCGGTTGATGATAGAGTTGACCTTGCTTCCCTTCATTTTAGCGTCGACTCTGTGGGCGAGGAGGGCATCGCAGGCTTTGTTTTTGAGGTCCATAACGCCTTCTTCGGAGTAACACGATACTTGGACACATTGGACGTCTTCTTGGTCGATGATCTCTTGCACGAGTGCGCGGGAGTCGGGGTGGATGTCTTCGAGGCGCATGACGTCGATTTTGTTGATGACGAGAAGGGTGGGTTTTCCATTGAAGAGGGGTTTGATGGAGTGGAAGAGTTTACACTGTTTTCGGTTAGAGAAATGGCGGCAAGGGATGATGGATAACGTACTTGGGCTTCTACAGAGTACCCACACTGTTCACTGAGATCCATAAAGTACAAAACACAACTTTTCAGATGAGCCAAGGCGGTGATGCTCTGCATCTCAATCGTGTTCATATCCTCGAGAGGGTGGTCCAGGATACCAGGGGTATCAATCACTTGCCATCGAAGGTATTTATAGTCGAGATGGCCAACGAAAAGAGACTTGGTCGTAAAAGCGTAAGGTTGCACATCCACATCAGCCCGTGTGACTTTATTGATGAAGGACGATTTTCCGACGTTGGGGTAGCCGCAGATGAGGAGCGTACGTGTGTTGGGATCGATATTCGGAAGACGGGATATGTGCTGTCGTACTTGCTCAAGGTACGCCAGGGCGTCTTTCTGTCGTCTCATGATTGTCGCCATGCTGTTTTTGCAGGTTGAGACTTTGTCAAGTGCGAAAAAAAGAACACAGAACTCACCGACCAAGAGCAGCCTTCTTCAGCTGCTTGCACCTGTACAAACTGTCACCGAATTTCAAGAGACGGACATAATCTTTGGCAACTTGGTCGATCAGATGGCGGGCGGTGCGAAGCTGGCCTAGTGCGAGCTTGTAGTGGTTTTTGTCGTAAAGCACGTTCATAAGTGAGGATAAGAACGGGTGAAGGTCCTGTATTCAACGGAACAAACAACTCAGACACAAAATCAAATCATGAAGAAGGAGGTATAACGAACATCAAGCATCGGGAATTCCGTCAAAATAGCACCAAGCTTCTCATCGAATGTGTCCTGCGTAAATTTGACCTTTCTCATATAAAAGTTTCGTATACGGCTGATCTTGAAGTTCTTATGGATGACCTGAATACATTTTCAGCATCAAAAAAGTGAGATCTTGGGTAGAAGTGTGTAAGAACCGTTGGTGTCTTTCGCTGAGTCTTGGACAGCACGATATCCAAGAAATCAGCAGCGGTTGGCACAGGGGCAATCGCTTTGAGGCCGCTCGTCGACATTTTGGCTTGAGGTGAACGACGACGGCGACTGGAGGGTTTTTGGAGGGGGCCTCGTTGAAGTCGCGGAGAGGAAAATAAAGTATTGGTTTCCCACACTCCCACGTGGTAAGATTAGATTTGATTTTTTTCTCCCTCAAAGCCCTTCGAAGTTCGTCCACTAGTCTTGCGCCAGTCGCGAATATATGCCCAAATCTCAGGTAGTTAATATGCTTGAAAACGACTGGCCGTCATCCCAAGAACGAGAAGAAATCACTATTGAATCACTAGTTGTATTTCTTGTTATCTTCTAAAGATGTCGGAGATTCAAATGATAATTGACAAGGTAAAGTTCGCCTGGCCATAGCAGCAGCTCTGAAAATATTTGTAGTAAGTCCAGCAAAGAACAACCACTTGTGAGTGCTCGCACATACGAATTGTTTCCATTTTCCAGTGTACTAAGAAAAACTTGTAGAAAATTGGCACTGGCGCTCGGCACCTTTTGCTGGGATCAATCAATTCGGCCCTGACATATGGTCATCTGTATCTCAGGGTCCCCTCCACGCTCCTTCAAGTTCACGCGCCGCACATCTTTGAAACTCCTCTTGACCGTTTTCATCACCTTCACAGTCCTCTTCATCCTATCCAACGACACTCCTTCACCACTCCACCGTAAATCCTCCTCACAAGGATGTCCACCCACTTCATACACAAACGGATCATGGATCTACAACCCGCACAACGCGACGAGGATGGAGAAAAAGGACGACGCGCTCTTCTTTTCCGGGTTTGAAGGATGTGCGAGCTCTAGGGAATATTACTGGCACCTCGCAGCGGACAAAGAAGACCAATGGGACCGGTTCCCGCGTGCCCATTCGTATGAGTGGGTCGGTCAGTGTGGCCTCGGACCAATCGACCCGGAATTGATTGTGAAACACCTCGTGGAGGATGGGGGGTGGTTGCTTGTTGGAGGTATGTTTGTATCGCGTTATTCGATGGCTTTTGGTGCTCAGTTTATTTTAGACTCGGTGACGGAGAACCACTTCTTTTCGTTATCCTGCCTATTATACCCACACGTCATCGCAACGCCAAAGTATACCGAAGGCGGCTCATTCGACCGCGGCTGGCCGCAGAATTTATACCTCAACCCGTCTTCACCACTCCTCCAACACAAACACATCTCTTTTCCGGATGGGTTCGATATCACCGTGACCCCTCTAGTCACCTTCCGACGAATCGATCTTTTATTCTCCCAAGCTGAACTTCTGGATATACATCGGTCCATTTACCCCTCCCCTCCACAGGCACAGGGATTCAAACTATTCAGCGACGAACCCGTATGGACACTTGCACTCGCCTCATACCTCGACCTGTTCACGTCCCCTCTTCCTTTGGGGAACTACGCCACCATGGTCGTAAGCACCGCAGGACACTGGACTACGACCCTTTTCTCTGGCTATCACGACGAGACCAAGGCCGACTCTGGGTACGGCATTGATCCGGGCCTGCTTTCTTTTTTCAATGAGGCGATGACGATATGGGCCCGTGAGGTGCAGGCCGTTTTGTGGAATCAACATCGCAGCAACTTGAGGTTCGGAAGGCCGGCAAAAAAGAAAAAGAGGCGTGTGCTTGTACGCTCTTATTTACCTGGCCATGAAGACTGTCACGCCGCGCGCGAGCCGTGGGCAGAGGTCCAGCCTTTTGTTTGGAATTGGTATAATTGGGGCTACGTCGATGCTTTCAATCGCGTTTTTGAGGTATGGCGAACCTTTATATGTCGTGCATAACTTGAAATGGCTTTTTAGACCGTTCTTGTGGAACGGACAAGGTTCCCCGATATTCATTATCTGCCCATTGACCGCCCTGGAAGATTACGGCCCGATGCGGTGAGTAATTAAACTCGCTTGGGCCTTTCAGGTTTCATTGATGATTCATTTTAGCATACCACGGGGGATTGTTTGCATATTATGACTGGGGCTGGCGTGCTTGAGGGTTGGACGCATTATATCTGGCACTACGTTACGCACGAAATTGTCTAATTTGGTGTGGATGATCATGACGGAACTCTGGGTTCTGGTTTAGACCTCTTGGTTCCGCTGCGCGAGGATCAATCTCCGGAGAGGCGCCCTCTTTCATTAATCGATGGGGTACTAGATTAGTTTGCGTATGTTGAGTACTGTCCTGTGCAGTGCCTAGTAAGTACTGGGCAGGGGCCTGGCAAAGATATGATCAATACACGAGTTCAAATTACGGCTAGTGGCATTGACTTCAATATGTATTGTTTAAGGTAGCTCTGGACTCGCTCCATGCGTTTTTGACAGAAACACCTCTCGTACGAGTAACGACACGTTGCCTCTACATTGACCATGTCCATGTCAAATTTATGTATGGATTAGGAAATGCGGTTCCATCAGCGCTACATGTTAATTAAACATGATGAGAGTCCTAGGTTAAACCGACCAAGATTAAGGTGGGCATCACTCCCAGATAGATATATAAGTTTTATAACTCCATCACGCCGCCGCCGCCGCTTTAAAGACGTTCAGACAGGTGCTAAGTGGACAGGTGCCTCACCAGAGCAAAGTTATGCGATGTCTTAACTGGCCTGATGTGACAAGCTCAAGAATCCGAGGAACACGCAAGCAAATGACAAAGTTTCCTTTCCAGAGTTCAAGCTCAAGCGCTTCAGGGCTTGTTGTGCGATATATCGGAATTGATGAATACAAGGTCATATAATAGATACATAGCTCCCAGTAGCGATCGGAATTCCTCTGGTAACCGTTTGTTTCATTTGTTAAAGGGTTGGCAAGAAGTTGAATACTGTCAGTGCACAATGAGAACGGAAATGGAACGTCAGATGCTTGTATGAAGTTGGCTATGACGATTCTGGCTATGTTCCAGGTGGTTTATCTTTTGGGAGGTTGAGGATGATCGATTTGACAACTTGACGGAAGAAAGCAAATGTTGCGGTGTATAGTTTGAACACCGGACTTAGGTCGTGACCTGGATTCAGCTTTTGACAGTACTTTCTGTCCCGTCGCTCCGCCTTCATACACAAACGAAAAATGCCACGGCGAGAGTCGACGATGAGCGATATTAGCGTCAGGCTTACGGAGGACGACGTCGACGGTAATGGCGTGGCCCGCTTGGCGCTGGTTTCGTCAGCGCCAGTTAACGAGGATTCGACGATAGCTCCTTGGTTGGATGTCCCAGTCCGTCTTCATACAACAAGCTTTTTTATCATATTAACCTCATTTTTTTTTCACAGCCAACGCCTCCACCGAAACCCCCACCACGCCCCTTTGGACTGTCCTCAAAGGGATCTCTGGCCTCCCTCATACCACTACGACAAGGCAGCGCGTCCAGCCTGCTTCGCGGAAATCGTCCTTCAGAATCATCCCAGAGTAATCTTAGCATAACCGACACATCCAGTCTCCGCTCAGCAGACGACGACTCCCGCATAACATTCAACAGCGGCTCCTCCTCAACTGACTCTGGCAAAAAGTCATCGTTGACCAGCGTATTTTCGAGGCTGAGGAGCAAGTCGAGCAAGCCTCAACTGGTCGTTGAGCACAATCATGGTTCCAACGGGTCAGAACATCCTTCACTCCGTCCCCCTGCACCACCTCTCCCAGATGCCTATGTCTCTTTCCTCAACGTCGGCGCAGCCCCTTCCTCCCTTTCCCTCGCCTCCGTCGCTTCATCATCCCAGAAACGGGAAAAACGCGACAAGAAGAAGAAGAAACCGTCTCAGACTCTCGAGCCTCCATCACCACCACCAAAAGACGACGAGCACCGACACATGCTCGACACGGACATCGACAAAATGGACGGCATTGTCGATTTTAGCAAGGCTGGTCTGCCTAGTGGTGGTGAGTCGAGCGCGAATGGTCACCACCTCCTCCCTTCGGATCCAGGCCCTTCCATTTACCCTTCCCTGGATTTCACCAACCCATTCGTACCAACGTCCGCCTCGGACAAGCGGAAAGCAATAATACCCATGGATTACCGTAAAGTCTCGCCAAAGACCGTGATACCCCCCGGATTCAACCGGATACCTATTAACCCATCATCAACGTCAAATCTAAACGGGGATGGGCCAGGCAGCCCAACATGGACTCCGCCAGAGAGTTGGGCGGTGGAGAAAGAGGAGGAGGAGGGAGGGGACGACCCGGATGCGGCGGAGTCGAGCTCGGATGATACTGTTGTTGGAGGGAAAGGGAAGGGATGTGCGATGATGAACGGAGACGGAGGGCCGAAGTCGCAGCACCACCGGAAACGAAAACTACTACCTATCAAGCAGCAGCTTCAGCCAAGGTTGTCGATAATCTCGGAACGCCCGTATCGGATTCGGATTTATCGCGCTAACAATACTTATCATGTCGTTTCGATACCCTTCAATGTGACGGTCGCGGCGTTGACACCTGCTCTTAACAAGAAATTGCTGCTTGGGGATGATAGGGTGCAACATCGTTTGTATTTGAAGGAGCGGGGAAGAGGTATGGTTCCCTTTCTTCTTCTTGCTTTTTACTGTGTTCACCGTGTATGTAGAGCGAATACTTGCGCAGACGGAAAAGCCAGCGGATATAGTTAGGCGGCGGTTGGAACAAGCTGGATATGACCCTGTTGATGGACTGGAACTGTTGGGCGGTGAAGGACTATCTTTTCTCTTGAAGTTTGTCTATAAAAGCCAGCTTCTTGGTCCTGCGGTACGCATATCTTTTTAAACAAACTTTGAATATGTCCTTATTCATTGACCAGGAGGAAGAACTCAACTTTAACGACAATTTTGACTTTATCGACCTGACGGGTCGAAGTCTGCGGACGATCCCTGTCATTCTTCATCAACATGCGCATTCCATCGTATCCCTCAAGCTCTCGCGAAATCCAATGCTTGAAATCCCTTTGGACTTTATCCAATCGTGTTCTGTGCTACGGGAACTCCGCTTGTCCAACATGGCAATGAAGAAAGTCCCTCAGAGCGTACGACACTCAACAACCCTCCACCGTCTCGACCTCTCTTCAAATCGTCTGGGGGACCTCGAAGATGCTTATCTAGAACACATTCCTGGCTTGATAACGCTATATATCCAGAACAACAGGATAGAAAAGCTACCATGGCATTTCCCCCGCCTTCGATCACTAACAACACTCAACCTATCCAACAACAAATTTCAAACACTCCCCATCCTCATCACACAACTCGAAAACCTACGCGACCTCGATATCTCATTCAACATGATCTCGGAAATACCAGAGGAGATCGGCCAACTGCAGAACCTTGAACGACTCATCATCGTCGGGAACCAAGTCGTCAAATTCCCCAGGGAATGCGCTGATTTGAAGAGGTTAAGGATTTTGGATTGTAGACGGAATCAGATCTCGGATTTGACTGTGATTTGTGCGCTGCCGCAGTTGAATCAGCTCAGCGCGGATCATAATTCGATACATGGTCTGGATCTGGCGCTGGGTGTACACCTTACGAGGCTTGACGTGTCGCATAATGATATCACGCAGGTTTCGCTTGTACCGGTGGGAGGGCCGATGATGGCGTATGCGTTGACTTCACTCGATCTGTCGTATGCCAAGTTGTCGTCGTTGGAGGACGTGGCTCTCGGGTGTCTGTCGACTCTTCTAACGCTAAACCTCGCACACAACTCATTTCGCTCTCTCCCCGATACGCTGGGCGATCTCAGTTGGCTGGAGACGCTCTCTGTCTCGGATAACAAGCTCGACGCACTCCCTTCGTCCATTGGGAGGCTGCAGAAGTTGGAATTCCTCGATGCGCATAATAATAGCTTGACGGAGCTTCCGCAGAGTCTTTGGAATTGCGCGAATCTTACGAAGATTAATGTGACCTCGAACTTTTTGGGGTCGTGGCATGATCCTCCGGTGAATGTGGGCGTTGTACAACAAGAACCTCCGCCTCCTCTTCCTCCCCAAGCAGCTGAGAACAACACCCTTTCCGTGCCGGCTATTGAGAGGAAGACGTCGACGACCTCGTTGACTGTTACGGGAAACCTTCCGCCTCTTGTGTATTCGCTTGAGAAGCTGTATTTGGGAGAGAACAGGTTAACGGACGACGTTCTTCATCCGTTGATGATATTCAAGGAACTCAAGGTTTTGAATCTCTCGTTCAATGAGATTCAAGAACTGCCACCTTCGTTCTTCCGGAATATGACGCAGCTTGAAGAGTTGTATTTGAGTGGGAATAGGTTGGCGAGTATACCGACGGAGGATCTACCGAAGTTAAAGTGCCTTTCGACGCTTTTCTTGAATGGGAACAAGTTGCAGACGTTACCGCAGGAATTGTGCAAGGCTAAGAATTTGACGAATTTGGATGTGGGGAGTAATTTGTTGAAGTATAATATCAATAATTGGGAGTTTGATTGGAATTGGTGAGTTCCTTTTTTCGTTGGAGTTGTGAATCCCCTCTCTGATTGATTTTGATTTTGTAGGAACTTCAACAAGAACCTCAAGTACCTCAACTTATCTGGGAACAAGCGTCTGCAAATCAAAGCTGAGCCTACGAGGCTATATTCGAATCACCGTCTTTCGAGTAGGGATCCAACGGCAATAGGCCGCCGAACACTATCGGGGTTCACAGACCTCACACAGCTACGCGTACTTGGCTTGATGGACGTCACTATTACCACTACAAGTGCAGACGCAACAGTCGATATTCCAGACGAGAACGACGACCGTCGCGTGCGAACTTCTTCGTCTACCGTCTGTGGCATGGCATATGGCATAGCTGATGCTCTTGGGCGTCATGATTCCCTCAACATGCTCGATCTCGTTCATGAGTTCCCTGGACGGAAGGGAGAAGCTATATTCGCCATGTTCGGTCGTTCGCGGCCACCTTCAAACCTCCTCCCAGGCTCAAGCGCCAATCGACTCTCAAAGTTCCTTCATGATCGCTTTGTCAGCCAGTTTTTGCTGCAGTTGGACGCATTGGATCCTCATAGGGGAGAGATCATCCCAGATGCGCTTCGTCGTACTTTTTTAAAGCTGAACCAGGACTTGCACGATACGCTGTTTTCGAGCAATCGCAAGATGTCGCAGTCGAGTGGGACGACGGGGACCAGCGGCAGCACGTTTGTGGATTCTGCTACTTTGAGAAGCGGGGCGTCTGGTATTGCGCTTTATTTTGTGGGGAAGACGATGTATGTGGCTAATGTTGGGAATGCGCTGGCTGTTGTGTCAAGGCAGGGTGTGGCGCAGGGTGTCTCCAGGAAGCACGATCCGTTTGATAGGAATGAGACTGCTCGTATACGTGCAGCTGAGGGATGGGTGTCACCGCCTGGACTTGTCAACGATGAAGTGGACGTCTCGAGGTCGTTCGGCTACTACTCGCTACTCCCCGTCGTTAACGCACGCCCTGATATCTGTGTATGGGACCTGACGGATCTCGACGAGTTCGTCATCGTGGCCAACTGTGGGCTGTGGGATTACATCTCGTACCAAACTGCCGTGGACATTGCTCGCACTGTGGCGAGAACGGAACGCCCTGATCCTATGATTGCAGCTCAGAAACTTCGTGATTTCGCGATCAGCTATGGGGCGGATGGGAGTACGATGATCATGGTGATTTGGGTTGCGGACTTGTTCAAGTCGTCAAGATCTCGACAGCCTACTCTGGATAATGTTGTTGACCCCCAGATGTACCGAACACGGAAGAAGGACGAGATTCTTGATCGTAGCATTGCCAGGCTCGATATTGAAGTACCTGCGCCGGTTGGCCACCTCGCGCTTGTGTTTACTGATATCCGAAACTCTACACATCTTTGGGAAGCAAATCCGGGTATGCCTTCGGCGATGCGGTTGCATAACAACCTTCTACGTCGCCAACTCCGGTTCTGTGGTGGATACGAAGTGAAAACGGAGGGTGACGCCTTTATGTGTTCGTTCCCCACAGCCCTGGCTGCCGTATGGTGGGCTCTCACGGTGCAAGTTCAGCTATTGCATGAGGCCTGGCCCTTGGAGCTTTTGGAGTGCGAAGATGGAAAACCCCTCGAGGATTCTCAAGGTCGGCTTGTTGCTCGTGGATTGTCCGTTCGGATGGGTATTCACTGCGGTTCGCCCGTGTGTGAGCCGGATCCTATCACCCATCGCATGGATTACTTTGGGCCCATGGTGAATCGTTCTGCTCGTATCAACAGCAGTGCCGGGGGTGGTCAGATCATGTGCAGCACGGAGATCATCCGCGAGATCAATGCAAAGATTCTGGAATCCGAGTCGGAAACAGAGTATTCCAAACTTCAACCGCAGCAAGCAATCGATGCAGTTAAGCGCATGGGTGTTGAGGTCATTACTGTCGGTGAAGTCAAGCTGAAGGGCCTCGAACTGCCAGAGCTCTTGACGCTCATATACCCTTCGGGCTTGGAAGGACGACAGGAGCTGAAAGACGGTCCCACAAATCCTAGTGCATCTGGCTCACGCGTTCAATTTAGTGCCCCACAGACACGTGAATTGGGCATATTGTGCCTCAGAATCGAAGCCCTTGCATCTGGGCGTGTCTTCCAAGCGCCATCCGACCGCAAAGCCAGCCTCGAAACTATCAGCCTTGAGAACGAATCCGAGAGTCAGACACCATCTGGAATCTTCAACGCCGATCCCGACCTTCTCTTACCTCCGATGAACGATCAGTCCTCTGACATGGATCTCATGCTGGTTCTTGATTCGCTGTCTGTTCGAATTGAGAATGCCCTCTCGGCCTTGGTTGAAAAGTTTCACCCACCCACTGTTGACAAGAGCAAGTTCCTCTCCGCGCTACTGGAAGGTGGTGTGCTTGATGAAGGCACGTTACAACACATCGCCTCTGTCCTTCAAGGTCTTTAGCAAATTTTCCTACTTCACCTTCGCTTGTCGTTGTCACTAGTGCTTTGAACTTTGTACTTAGACTATTTATTTTTTTCCTCTACGGTCTTATACCTTGTACACCATTTATTGTAATATATCAAGGGCTTCTAGGATTATGAATTCAACTAATTGTCTGGAAGATGGCACAGCCACATGATACTTCCCTCATGATCATGAACGTCTCTCAGGATCAACATACATACTCCTTCGGGGTCACCAGGCTTGCGATATTATCAACGTCCAACGCACAACCGCTGCTTTACCATTCCCAGGTCATAAATCATGAACGAGTTGAAATCAAGTTTCAATGCCTTTCTAAAAATTCAAGGCGAGGAACTCGGCGTGCAACGGTATCTTCCTTCTCTCTCGTGGGTATTGGCGATGTGACCGAACCACCTTGGACGTTACCAAGAAAAAAAGCGATTTACGAATGAAAGGACGCCCAAGTTTGAACCGGTATTGAATTCGTACGTTTCAACTTCGGTTTTTCTTTCCGGCCGCATCGGTGTTCAATAGAATAATGGATGCAGTCAGAATCCACGAAGGCGCTAGGGTTGTAATCAAGGAAGAGATTTCAGCTGCGTTGTACTTGTTCTCTGACACCTTTAGGCGGAAGGATTCCAGGAACTTCTCTGTGCGATATTGGACGTTTTAGACACCGAATTGGCTTTTATACTCTTGGCTTTGACCTCTTTCCGTTTCGGTGTGTAGGAAGGAGGCAACCGCCGTCCCGGGCCCCAATACCCTATCCCCTTCAGTTGTACGCACAACACGCTGTTATGCCAAAATTCAGGGATTTAATCACATAATATTGATTTTTTTCCAAATCGCTACGAGGGGTGAAAAAAAAGTGTCTAATGCGACGCCCCTTCAATGCCAAAACTCGTCGAGAAATTGAATTTCACAGCTGTGTTCTCGTTCAACCAAGGAAACCTCTCTTGAACCATCCCAACCTCCTCGTAAAACCCTGAGTCCAAATCTGCTGGACGGCCGAACCAAACAACATTGATTGAAACTGTGTGCAGTTGAGGAAAGCCACGAGATAACACGGTGTCCAACTGTCCCCATTCATTTCGAGCGGAAATCGGCTTGCTATGCCAGCTTCTGGTTATTATTATGATCTCGATGTCCAAAGTTTCCAGAACATTGGGCTGAGGAAACATTTGGAGTTTCTCACATAGACCTAGGAGAAGCGTTTCAGTAGAACCGGTTGTACACTGTCCCTTCAAGGTCTTCAGCGTTGAAAAGCTGCTGTTGAAGTCAGGCCATTGGGTAGCAAAAGAGTCCAACACGGTCCTTCTACATGCGAACGTCTCCAATCCGATTGCTTCTGTGCAGATATCCTTTATGAGCTGCGTGTCATTATGACAAACACAACGGATGATTAGCGTCTTGAGTGCATCGAATCTGATCAAGGGATGGCCATCGCTGTCACGATCATGAACAAGTGCCAACGCAAAGTGGCAGGAATATGCGCCAAGTTCGAATAAGTGCAGTTGGGGAATGTTCATGGGTTGTGGCGAATGTGGTGACATCATCGCTTGATCATTGGGCTCTGGCTTTTCGGAGTCCTTCGACACCTCATTGATTGTCAAAGCGGAAAGATTGACGCAGGATTGAAATATTGTGACAGGAATCACAAAATTGTAAATGGATAATGTTGTCAAGGAAGCAGAATAGATGCGATTCAGGATCGGCTGTTGAAGAGTGTGGTGGAGGGAGTTCCACAACATAGGTGAACTGTCACTCAGACATGTCCCTCCCCGGATGGACAACTTCTCTACGAATAGTGTTTGTGTAAGAGTTTGGATATTTTCAGCATCGGTGCTCTGTTTTCCAGGGACCCAGTTCGAAAGGGAGTTATCAACCTCTAGCGCCAACTCTCGGACATATTGTCCAATGCTTGGATTGTAGCGAAAGAGTCGTATAAATATATTTGAGGTTGGTGAAATACCGACTCGCGCGAATTTTACAGATCGGAAAAGACGTCGGTGGCATGAGTGACGAATTGCATGAGATGTTCCGGAAATGCACGTTAGTGCGACGATATCGTCCTGGAGATGGTCAATTATCAATTCAATAATCTCTGTTGGAAAGACTGGGGACTTGGAAAGGTGTTCCGAGTCCATTATGGTCAGTGAGTCTTTGGATTGCAAGATAATGTTGGGCGTCGATCAATCCTTGGACATCACCACCTCTTCACCACGACCACCACCGCCACCACTGTCCGCAATGAACCACGGCGCTGCACACGCAGGGCATAACATGCCCACAGGTGGCGGCGGCCCTCGCTGCTCAATGAACATGTTGTGGTCAGTTAGTCTCTCAGGCTGTATATTTCCCCTCCTTACTGACCCTCCCAACTACAGGAACACAGACATAATCAACACATGCATCGTCTTCCGCTCCTGGCACATCCACACGCACACTCAATTCGTTCTCTCCCTCCTCGCCATCACCTTGATAGGGCTGTTCTACGAGTACCTCCGTGTTGTCCAGCGGGGCTTGGATCGCCGTATCGCGCTGAGTCTCAGTGCGGCTAAGGCTGGGAAAATTAGGATCCCCAGTAGGGGGAGCAGCCCTGATGCGGAGGGCGCTGAGGGGTTGGAAGATTCGTTGCTTGGGGGACGGAATGGGCGGGCGGTTAGGTCGGCTTTGAATGGGTGAGTTGGGTTTGAGCAGACTCGGACGGACTGATAATACCTTTTTTTACACAGAACTTCGGTACCTCCTGCGTCGAGGGCCCTCCGTGCGGCGTTGTATGGCGCCACTGTTTTCCTATCCTTCTTCCTCATGTTGGTGTTCATGACGTACAATGTGGGTCGTTCTTCTTTCCTTCCCTCTGTCTCTTAGCTAATGATTGTGGGGTGTAGGCATATTTGATCACAGCCGTCGTCGTCGGCGCCGCCCTTGGTCATTATATTTTCGGCGCAACCATGAACGTTGATGCAATTCTTGTTGATACCCAGGGAGGCAAGGGCATGGCGTGCCATTAGCCCTCCTATGTCGGAGTTTTTCGCTGCTATCTTGTAAATGATATAAGTATCAGATTATTCCGCTTCACGGAATTTATGGAGGGCAAGAGTGTGGCGGAGATTTTGGATCAGTTGGGGGAGAGGGACGTCCTTGGGATTTTGAAGCAGGTTGTGGACCTGGAGAAGAGGACGATGGAGATTATCTTTCCGGCTGGGGGGAGTTTATACTTTGCTGAGGATCTGGAGAATGTACCAGGTGTCTCTGGGCCTATTAAAGGCATCCCGCCCGAAGACATGCAGTTTTGCGTCGGTCCGGAGACCAGCTGTCCGGTGTGGTTTGGACGGAGGTCGCAGCTCGACGTGGACAGAGGACCGTGTATGTCCTACCTTTTTTTCATAGTCGGTTACGACCGCGTACTTACGAGTAATTACAGACACAACTCATGAAGTATGGTGGGCTCTCACAGTGCAAGTTCAGCTATTGCATGAGGCCTGGCCCTTGGAACTTTTGGAGTGCGAAGATGGCAAACCCCTCGAGGATTCTCAAGGTCGGCTTGTTGCTCGTGGATTATCCGTTCGGATGGTATGCACTGCGGTTCGCCCGTGTGTGGGCCGGATCCCATCACCCATCGAATGGATTACTTCGGGCCCATGGTGAATCGTTCCGCTCGTATCAACAGCAGTGCCGGGGGTGGTCAGATCATGTGCATGAACGATCAGTCCTCTGACTTGGATCTTATGCTGGTTCTTGATTCACTGTCCGTTCGAATCGAGAATGCCCTCTCGACCTTGGCTGAAAAGTTCCCTGTTGACAAGAGCAAGTTCTTCTCTGCGTTATTTGAAGGTGGTGTGCTTGATGAAGGGACGTTACACCACATCGCCTCTGTCCTTCAAGGTCTTTAAGCAATTTTCTACTTCACCGTCGCTTATCGCTGTCACTAGTGCTTTGAACCTTGTACTTAGACTATTTATTTTTTCCCTCTACGGTCTTATAACTTGTACACCATTTATTGTAATATATCAAGGTCTTCTAGGATTATGAATTCAACTAATTGTCTGAAAGATGGCACAGCCACATGATAATTCCCGTTCTGTCGTCGTTTTCGTAAGGTTTTCACAATGCCACCTTTGCTCACATTCTGTCTTCCTCTCCTTTCAGGCGCACCACCCACCGGCTACGGTTGGTCAGAAAGTGAGGTGTCGGCTTTGTCGACGACCACCGCGTTCCGCACTGGAATAGATCGACGAGACCAGTTCCTCGGAATACGTCGCTGTGTCGTTTGTGGGGCTTCCAGTATTGAGGGTCTAGAGCATTGCCACATTATTATGGTGTCGGAGCCTCAGACCGTAAGTGAAAACGGCATTTGGGCCTTCTTGAGGCTAAGTAATGTGAGGCACAGTGGAAGGACCTCAAGGCTCGCAGTTGGATCCCTGATCAGGCCAAAGATGATCCTGGTCATGAACCACGCAATGGCATGACTATGTGTGCATGGCATCATCGCCTATTCGTTTCATATGTTTTCTTTATCCGTCTCCTTGCAGACGTGAGATCGCTTCGTCTTTAATTCGGGCCAAGTATTGACAGTACTTGAACAGATTCGCAAGTTCGTGTTTATCAACTACTCCGCCAGAGTGGACCTTCAGCAATTCCATGGTAAAGCCATCGCCCTTGATATCAACGACAGATATGCACCCTTCCCTTCCCTATTCATAATTCATGAGATGCGCGTTCGTGGATTCCACCCCTTTCAACCTGTTTCTCCACCCGTCCCCGCCCCCGATGATATACATTGGCAAGACTGGATTTCGTCAGAACAAGTGTTTAACAATGCCTCAGCTTCCTTCAAACGTAATATGCCACCACACAACGAGAGATCTGCGGAAACACAGCTGCCGTCTCACCCTACGACTACGACGACGGCACCATCAGGTCAACGTACATTAGCGCTGAACGCAGACGTCATCAATGACATCCTTGCGGCGACGCGTGCCATGCCGTCGTGGAAGGCCTGCGTGGTTGAGGGCACGAGCTGGACTGGCACGGCGGAAGAAAACATCCAAAAATATGTCTCTTCTATTGGTACACAAGATGATTGACGTTATCCCTGTAGACCTGGCAAGAGGCCGCCGAAAGTTTAATTCTCGACACGAGTATTTAGGGAGATTCAAGTTTATGCCGTTTCAACATGGACGGTGAGCACGCTTTTCAAAAACTATTCATTCTTCCAACGGACATACAGTGTATTTTATGTACAAGGTCCTACATCAATCGATCGACCTGCAAAAGTACCGCATGCGTGATTCATCATGGACATTGGACACGATCTATTCGCGTCTGCTCGTTCGTTATCAACACTCCACACATGATATTCGATGGTCGGTCTACCCAGGATCGTCTGAGACACCCAAAAGTTCTTGATGTCGCATTTGCGGAAGCCAAAATACTCTCCTTGGAGCTGGATCCAAGTACTGCGACGCATATCATCAAAGCTGACAACGCTGAGGACACTCAACAAAAACAAGGGTTTTTTTAGATTGGTACGTCCCTCACTTGGCTTTTTATGACGCCCTTGGTGTAGCCTTTCGCTCACGGGACCGCAGATACCCTTCTAGAGCAGGAATATCGAACCGTTTCGGAGACATCTTTCGGTCGTACCAGGATATCGATATATAGTCTTCTTGGTCTACGAGGAGGGACTGACGAAGAATATACTGAAGAATCTGGGACTGCCAACTGTGTTTTAGAACTGACCTCAAGCAACTGTTAGGGTTCGGAACGGTCAAGGACCAAGGTATTCCCTCTGAAATTTCCTATGTAACAGTTGTTATCAGAAAATCGAGGACGATCGGAACTCTCAGGCTCCCATTTCGTCTTCAAGCAACCCTCGAAACTACACGTTCCATGATTCAAGACTGATTTTTCTTGGGCTGCGAGAGTTGTGTGGAGCAACCGTCGATGTTATAGTACTGTACCTTTCGTACTTTGTTGATTAGCTAGTCCGTCTTTATTTCCCTCCCAGGGATTTTACTGCTGAGCAAATTCAAGTTGAATTTGATTATCACCGCCAAGCAGCCAAGGAATGTCAGAACGACTGTCAGTCTCTGTCAAGTTTCAACCAGTGTTGCCGCTGTCAAAAAACTTCTATATCTTATCTCCGTGTTATCGGGTCGTACGACCTGTAAGTGTGACGTCATGGAAGCTGGGAAAAAGACTCACAATCCACATTGCACATCAATTGCACATGCTAAAACCGAGCCATGTTGAACGTAACGCGTTTACATGAAAAGGTAACTCAAGCATCAATGTGCCAAAAGAAAATGGTGCTTGATGTAGGACAAAATACATATTACGAGCGAGCGGGAGCTTTTTTCGTTCTGCTGATATTACCAGGTTCGATAGAGTAAATGAGGAATAAGGTACGAGATATCGCAGAACGGTATGCTGCTTGAAAATTGGATGATGCTACACAATGTGATTTGTATGAGGGTGGGATCCACGAGGTAACAAGGGGTATGTAAAAAGTTCAGATGTATGTGTAGGATGGAGGGAGTGAGGGTGGGACGTAGGAAACGAGGGTGGTGTCGAAAAAAAGTGTCATCATCATAAGCTCTTCTATACCTTGTGCCAACCGTACCATGCCAGCACCAGCCCGATCAAAGTTTCGCGAGTTCCAGCTCCCATCACCTCGCTGTCCATGGTGTCAACGTCGTCACCGCGCAAACCCAACCTGAAGCTCAAGATTACTTCCCTGTTCTTCCGTAGGTCTTCGTCGGCTAATACTACCACTTCGGCCGGTGGTCGCTCTTGAGGAATACACGGGAGTAGCCGAGGTGGATGTGGGGTTGTCATGGTACGGTGATGGCAGAGGTTGATCCCGAAATGGTGATTGGTCGCTGTTATATGGATTGTTTTGTTGATAGGGGTTGTTGTTGGTTTTCTCGTTCATCCGATCCGCGGCAGCTGTGGCGGCAGAGGCATCACCAATACCTGCACGCGTGCCCCATCCGGTCTGAAAGATCATTTAATCAAGTATATTGAGGGGCATGGATGACGGCGTACCTCGTGCAGCGTGCAAAGAGCATAAAGTTTCATGATGGCGAAGTAGTACCCGAAGAGGATGAATGCTGGTACATAGATGACGTCCTGTGGACGCGTCCAGAGGTGAGGTAGGAGTTTAAATGTCCGTGTCGCGACTAGCCACACAAAATATGAGCAAAGGATATTCCTATGCGACGATAAGCTACCCCTCGAGTCGGAAGGCAAGTTGAAACCTTACCACCACGGCAAGTGATATCCGCCTTGTGCGACTGGTATGGTGCTCTTGTACATGAGGTACGACACCAAGCAGGGACCGACGAGCAGGGTAAATGGGTTAAATAATTTATCAACCTTAACGACGACAGCAATCAGCTACAAGACAGTTCGGAGAAAAAAGAGCTGCTGACCATTGTAAAGGCGACGTAAGGATGAGAAGTCCAAACATGGCGTTCCATGAAAAGACTCCTCAAATCCGAACGCCAAGTATTTCTAGTCCACCGCAAAACTTGCTTCAAGAAGCGCCAATTGGGTTTCATAGTACTAAGAAGCTCGGCCTCCTTACAGCATTGCACGTAAGTGCTCCAGCCGTGGCTCACCATCCAGCGTGTGAGGAACTTGTCGTCTCCCGAGTTCAGCTGGTACTTGCCAAGCCAATAGTCGTGCGTAAAGCCATGAAGAAATTCAGGGTCCTTCAGGATGACGGTACGGTAGGCAGCTGTACGTCCTGAAAGACAAGGGATGCCGCCGTCTATGTGTGTGGAAGAGGAAATTTCGATATTTCGGATTGTGAGGCGGAAGGCGGCCAGGACTTCCCAAACAGTCATCCTGTTTCCAACCGGCTGAACACGCTGGCTGGTGCCTACGCCTCCGACCTTCTGGTCCTCAAAGCATGCGAGAACGTATGGCAAGAGTGTGGGCGGCCAAATAGCGTCGTCGTCGGCAAAGACAATAATATCGGTAGTGGTGTTCTTGATTCCATGGCTCATCTGGAGTCGCTTGTTCGCGAAGGGGACGGTAAGAACACGTATACGCTCCGGGTCGACCTGGTTTGCGAGGTCTTGCAGGGGACCAAGCATTTTTTCTTCGGTGATGATAAGAATTTCTTTCGGCTTGCCAGCAAGCCAACTATTGGCCGCTTCCTTGAACTCCTCTCCGGCGTCGATGGTGGGTACAATAATAGTAACATCCTCAGATGCGATGTAGGTGGGGTTCTCGGGTAGAGGTACTGGGCGATATGTGAGAGAGGCGGTTACGCGAATTATATACCATAGGTAGCGGTAAAAGCTGGTACGCTGATAGTCAGGAGACCGCAGGTTGGTGAGACATGTCAGCTCACCCAATGACACCAAACGGAACGACTGGAAGGCGGGAAAAACGTTCAGAAAAAGAAGCCTCCCCGACGATGGGAATGACTTACAGATTGGAAATTCATCGGACGTCAGGTAGAGCATCTGGGCAACGTTTGGGTGATAAAAAGGAGCGAATTACGACGCCAAAGACGAAGAAATATGTGAGAGAGCCGTCGTGGCCAGTCGAACAGCCCAGAAAGACTGGGGGGAGCGGCGAGGACGATGGAGACGACGTTGCTGTCGTCGTGGGGATATTGCAGGGATAGTGTCGCGGTCGATCTGAACAGGGTCAGCTCCATGCATCTCATGCCGAGTAGCGGACTTTCAATTCACTTTCCGGCCGCATCCTGACGAAAATACAATTATCCGCCCTATTCTTAAAATAACTACTCGTCGGATCCGAATCCAGTGCGCATTTTCATTGCGCTTGCAGAGTCCAGACGCTTGTGCAAGTTGTAAGTACTCGCTCGGGTCATAAATTTTTGGCCAACAAAGCCTTCGCGACGAAATTGCTTAGTAATAGCAATCCTCTTGGCGATCGGGTGAAATTCGGAAGACGTAGATTCCGAAAACCTTCCTGCAAAGGATTTCTTTCTTTCACTGGCAAGATGTCCTTATCAAGTTTCCAAGTCTTGCTTGAGAGCATGCTGAAATTTTATCTGCAGGTGTGTCCACCCAAAGCCCAGCTGTTTTTGTGAACACCCTGATGACGATCCTCAAACCAAAATGCAGGGTTGGATCGCCATTCCTCGGAACAGCGGTAGCCTTCCAGGTTCATTGTTCAGGGGTACCTTTCTTTGACCCGCAGCGTCTTTAACCAATCTTCAACATCGAACGTTGCAAGACAGTGCAAGACGTTGCAACCTGCACCGGCGGTGCTTTTGATCAGTTGAAGAATTATCATTACCAGAGGTCAACTGGCGGCCGGCTTCTTATTATTGATACATAAGTACTCCAGCCAAGGAAAGGTACGTCATTTTGCAAGCCACCTGATAACTGAATCCTGCAAGCAATCCAGGGAGTCCCTCGATGTTTTTGTCGACTTCTTTCAACTCTCAAAGCCAAGGGCTTGAACACTACAAATGTAGAAGTTTAGGGACTTGTAGCCTTATGACGCATCTGAGGACAAATTGTCGCGCTCCCACCTGTTTTTGCTCAACGTTGCTATGTAAGTACCAGTGGACGGCTTCACCTTGTTATAGGTTTGTCGGTGAGCCCGCCGGTGCACCGGGTTACCTTGGGTACGTGGGATTACACACACCAACAAGGATGCAGCCCATTTCCGGATCAAGTTCAACCTGCGGTGGAAATAATTGTAGAAGGTTACCTTCCACACAATCAGTTTATAGCCATGAACGCACTAAAGGAAGCAATTTTCATCAAGGGGCATACCAAGGATGATGAAGGCGGTAGCTCGTCTTTGCAAACGTGTGAGCATCGTTTATTTTTATACAAGGAACTTACTGCGCATTCTATACTTATCTTCAGACCAATCTCTACCAATGCCTGATGCCAACAATACTTTTTTCGTACATAGCCCAACTCCGAACAAACGAGTTCACTCTGCCGACCTTCCGGCCGTCCACAGATAAGAATGCCTCAAGTCAATCAATTGTCTATCAGATTCAATTGCCTGCGACCGTGATAGATCATCATCAAGGAATTAGGCGCGTGTCGTGCCGTATTTTTTTGGCTATTCCACGTCGGCCAAAGATATCCATTTCTACTCAAGCACCTACAGAGTCCTACAGAGTCCTCGTGCCTATCGGCTTATAACCGACATCCAAATATCGGTCGACGGCCGCTTTATTGTTGAAACGAACTGCACTGCCTGCCGGGACTTATCCCAATTCGCAATTTTCTGGTGAGTCTGATACATTCATGCCATTGGCGATTCTTGGAATGCGCAAGGTACTACGTCTGGGCGACACTCCTCAGCGCGACACGTACTGAAAATCGATGAAAATTTCATTCCCCTTCATCCGTAAGTGCATATAACGTTTCCGCAGCCCTCCCTGGCCCAGCGTCCGCAGTCCAAGTGATGACGGTCGTGAGAGCTGCGCAAGAAATCTCCGGCGTCCTTCGGAAATAACAAGCACTAAGAAGTGTCGTACCCATCTGTTGCGGTGAGCGAGAGCGGGGTTCGGCGGTCACTCATGGGAACGAGATTAACAGACACCATTACTGACGTCACCTGCCTTCAACTTGCCTTCCACACCTTCAACTTCGTCGTTCCACGGCGTACCCGGCCTGATCACTCGCAGCGTTTTATGTAATTTAACTTCGAGGTGGCCATATTGGCGGATGAATGGTCGTTGTTTTTTATTTTCAAACTGCGAGGCGTCTCAAGTTTCTGTTTGAACCTCTAACGCCATTTCGCTTCCTGTTCAAACAGTAATATCAACCACAAAGTCGACATTCTACGGATGGGATGAAAAATGTGTCAGGAAATGGGGGCTGAGATTAGAGAAACGCCTTTGATAGCACTTTATATTGCTACAATCTCCAAATTTTCGTGTGCTGGCGAGATATACATCTCACGTTTCGAAATAATCCACTGATGCAATTGTCAATACAAGGGAGTAAGAATTTGATAAAGACGTAAACGTTACAAGCATACCGCACTCCATATCACGATAAGGGTAGACATACGTTCAGAATTCAAAGATAGTGAAGGAAAAATAAAGAAGGTTAGTGAGGCGAGAGGAAACACCAGGAAAGCATATAGCCACAAGAAAATTATACAGAGCTCCAAGCCAACTTCAAGCATAGATATCATCTAAGTCGCCCGATCCTTCGCCGGTATGGCTTCTACTGGTAAATGGCCCTTGGTCGATGGTGAACGTGTAGGTATTGCTTCCAGCAGATGTGTAGCCCCCAGTTGATGACCCGGACCTGACATACCTAAACTTACAGAAATGCATGAAATTCTTTGATTTCTTACCGACCAAAGGCCTCGGTGTCAAAGGAATATCGATCACCTAATTGAGGACGGGACAATGTGGATCCTCCGGCCCTGCAAGATAGCGCATCGAATTTTGCGTGTGGACTTACGCGCTGGGGCGCACGGGGTAATGTGTCCACGGTCTAGCTGGTGGAGGTCTTAGAAGTGGAGGGGTTCCCGTACAACGCTCTAGGTACTAGACGTATCCTGTGACTGCAATCATTCGAGACCTTGATTGGAGGGCAGCGAGTCGTCCTGATGCCGCCTAAGCTTTTGTTCGGGTCACATCCTGCTCGACTGACCCGATGAGTCCCTTGAAGGCAAAAAAACATCCCTCTGCCGCTGAAGCGTGGGGACATCCGTGTCGGGGTCAAGTGGTGATCCTTTTTGGAGTTTTGGTGAATGAAAGTCTCGATACGGTTTAACAGTCTAATCAAACGGAATTATGATAGTCGGCGACCTAGAATTTCGCTGCCAGAGTTACACCTGATGATCATAAGCCCGGCGAGATTTCTTGTTTCCGAGAAGGCTGACTCAAATACGAGTTTCTTGTTCCGGAGCGAAAAAAAATCACAAAACGTGCGCCACAGAGAAGTCGAGCAAGTACAGCTACTCATTGGTGTAGATATGCCAGGGTGAGTCAAAAATAAGATGGATCAACACACGCTGAGCCCAAGACAAGGAAGAGTAGACTGTCATTGCCTTCGCAGAAAACTCAGGGTTTCTATCCATCGAACTGCCCCGAAATATTTGACCAGAAACCGATCTAAAACCCCGAGACTGGAACAACCGGTCCGCCAGATCCTACGCCTCAAACAGGACGCAGGCAATCCAAGAATGAGAGCTTCTAGTTGCTGAGCAGCCCCAGATGCTAGGGGCCTCTCCTCTGGATCAGCCTTGGTCATATTCTCGCCAATGCCCTTGAACAGCTCAAGGCCCTCATGCTCCTGTGTGATTATTTTAAATTCAGAATACAAAGTGGATACAGCGGAAATCGTACCGCAATCGTACTAAGAATAGCATTTCCTAAGCTGGTAGACATCGACTTTGAAAGGATCATACGGAATGTTCGGAGTCGACATTTCAGGCACTGAACGATCCTGCCCAATTTGCCCGTTCTCGCGACATTTTCTTTTTGAGGAATATCGAAGGGATAAATCAAAGTCATTGAAAAAATATTTCACCGGTTTGACCAACGAGCGATCGTGCCAAGAAATCGGATGAAAACCGTCAACAGTTCGCCATCTTCCAAAATGAAAACTCGACGGTACCACTCGTGAGAAATCCATCATGAGGCTATATGTGCATGCGTCACTGGGTTATAAGTTAGCGAAGAAAATGTGTTCGAGGGATGAGAATTCCCACCGGTATGCAATATTATGTTCATGCATAATCTCAAGGCCCTAGTGAGAAAAAGATCGACAAAGTGCCTATCAAATAGAAATTTTGAGCTTGCCTCCAACCATTGCTGAAACATTTCAGCAACCTCTCCTACACGCCGAAACGGAAGGTCGTCAAAGGGAAGAAGCATGCGGTTCATCGGTGTCTGGGAGCAGCAAAACGTCGAGTATTGGCACAGCGCAGTTCCTAGGATCCGCTCGCACTGCGTCAGACCAGCTAGGGCTCAGACGAGCCCGGTCCTACGTCATCGCTTATGTCATCGCTGCACGACATGGATCTCCTCTTTCCAGGTATCAACTTCCTTGATGACAACTCTGGCGCCGTCTTGGTTTCTGACTGCATCTATGATTCTACCGGTCTGAAGATGAAAATACAGTGCGGCTAAAAAGAGAATGGGCGTACAAGTTTACCAGTTCGTAACGCATCCTCGCATTCAAGTATACTGTTGAATGGCTTTTCCCTTGGGAACTTCCAAGACGCCACCCAGTCTGGATCATATCGAGGCCGTAAACGATATATACGAGAGAGGAGGAATGGCTGTCTTTTCACCCACACTTCTTCTATCGTACTTCTTAGGTATTTGTCAAATTCCTTTGGGTCCATTCGGTAAGGCATGATGTGAGGCGAGGTTACAAGTCGCAACTGTTGTTGGTCTCCAGATGTAAACACTGACAAATACAAGTACTCGGCGCTCTTTCACCAATCATTAATCATTCCCAGTGAAAACGCCGATGAAGGTCTGAAGAGGATTGAGGCCTGAGAAAAGATATTTTAGTCTTAGAGTCATCTGAGAACTGTTCTTGTTTTCAGTAAAGCCAAGTCCGGCAAAAATGCTATCCGCGAACCTTCAAGCTGGGTAAAATTGTACTGTCGACTTCATTTGTGAATTAGAACGTTAAATTCATGCAGGGGTGACTAACATGCGATAAAAGTACATAAGAATGAATATCGAATGCCGTAGGAGACTTCACGATGTGGAGGTTCTAGGAAAAGCCCAAAGAGAAATATCCAAGTACATATTGGACGACAACGAATAATTTTTACTATGTGTTGTTGACAGGTCCAATTGCCGCAGAATCCCATTACATAAAATCATTAAGCCTTCTCAGCGTTATCAGAGCGACTAGACGTGGTCTCATGCTTCTCGTGGTCTGAAGTGCGACACAAAGCAAATTAGAGAGTGTAATGTGGCGAATAACGCGAAGAGCAGACTAACCATGTTCTTGTTTAACAATGTGAGCTTGACGTTCCTCTGCGGAGATGGACCCGAAGATGATGTCCATGTCTTCCAGACTGCGGCCCTTGGTTTCGGGAATAGCGCTGAGGGATTGCGAAGATCAGATGGTTAAAATCACCGTAGCCAACATATCACGTACAGAGAGAAGGCACCCATTGCCACGATGTTAATAGTACCAAACATGAAGAAGATCTTGAAACCGAGGTTGGTGATCATAGTGGGGGTAACTTTAGAAACAACGAAGTCTGTAGGAGCGTTTATTAGCATACTGGAAGAAACAAACAAAATTTGAGACTTACTGAATAACCACTGGGACGCGCTGGCGAGAGCGAGACCGTAATGCCTGGTGCGGGTGGGGAAGATATCGGAGACATAGACCCAAGGAAGTGGTCCCCATCCCATGGAGTAGAAGCACACGTAGATGTACAACATGGCGGCCATGCCCTTCGATGCGGGAGGAGGGTTGATGGTTGTGCCAGGGATGAGCTTAGGGGGAGGGTGGGTCTTGAGGATAGCACCAATGATGAAGAACAAGGTGCCCATGCCAATAGCAGAGATGAAGAGAGACAGCTTACGACCGAGACTGTCTGCCGCGAAGAAGATGAAGAAAGCAGTGGCAATAACCTGAGATATAAAGAATGAGGACATTTGGTATCTGAGCAGAGCTTAAAAGCACACCTTGACAACGCCGTAAATTCCAGATGCGAGCAGAGAGTTCTTGGCGCCGGTATATCCAATGGATGAGAAGATCTGAGGGGCGTAGTAACTAGAGACGATCAGGTTAAAGGGGGAAAAACAGAGACAAGGAGAAATACAACGTACCCTACAGAGTTTTGTCCGCCCCATTGTTGTAGCAAGAAGATGACGAAGGCGATGACGAAACGGATGAAGTTCCCCTTGCCCAAAAGTGCTTCTCTCAAACCAAGACCTGCACGGGCAATCCGTTCTTCCTCGATGGCTGCGTCAATTTCGGCCATCTCGTGGAGGACAACTTCGGAGTCTTCACGCTCCTTGCGAAGATAAGCAAGGTTACGAATAGCTTCGTCGTTACGGCCAACAGATGCGAGCCAGCGAGGAGATTCCTAGAATGGAAAAATGAGCACGAATTACATACAGAATATTAAAAGAAATCGACCTTGACGGTGAAAAGACCGAGCAACATGATACCGCAAGGAACCAACTGGAAACCGAAGGGAACACGCCACACGTCGGTACTATTCTTCATCTTGATGTTTTGACTGACACCGTCTGGGAGTGCGAGTCAGTCGCGTGTTGCGTCATGATAAAAATGGGGAGGCTCACAATTAATGAAGTAAGAGATCATAACACCAATAGCAACCATGATCTGGAACATGCCGGTGATACGTCCACGAACGTCCTTGGGCGAGCACTCGGACACATATGCGGGAGCCACAGCGGAAATGCCACCAATACCGAAACCAGAAATAACACGACCAGCATAGATGAGAGCAAGACCATGTTTAGCACCGCCAGCCACAGTTGTGAGGATCTAGCGGAATAATTCAGTTGAAATGGCGAAAAGAAAGGTTCTCGGACATACAGCGCCGACAGCGAAAATGGCAGAGAAACCGACGAGTGTCCATTTTCGGCCATATTTGGCTGTGCGGGAGTTAATATGGGGCGAGCTTCGGAGGCGAAGAAGCGCGAACCTGACATGGGGGCACTTCCAAGGGCGCCGAAGAACGCGCCTGCTTGTAAAACGGAAACGACGTTGGAGGAGACTTCATTTGAACGCTTCGTATCGATGGTTCCATCTGCCTTCACGAGACCGAAATGCTTCTGGAAGAAGGGCTGCGATACGACACCACCAGCGATACCACTGGAGAATAGCAATGAACAAATGCCCGGTCAATGTAGGAAATATGAATACATACGTGTCATAACCGAAGAGAACAATTCCCCAATACGCGATGAATGCGAGCCCTGCAATGTAGCATTAAACTGTCGAGGCTGGACCTCTGCTGAGTTAAAACGTACAGTAAACCCGGATGTTCTGAAATATGTGCTGCGTGACAGCCATCGTTGAGGAAGTCGGGTGAGGGCAGACGGGGTTGGAAGAGACGACGAGAGCCTGAAAATCCAGCAAACTCGGACGCAGGTTTTAAAGGAAGGGAACCCGCCACAGTAGGTTCCCATCTCGATTCGATCAGAGAAGTTGGGGGCGGGGAAATGGTAAAAGTCGGACCGACGGCCCGTTATGAATTATGGTTGGTTAGGAGTTCAAAATTCAAATTTCGTAGATCTGTGGGGTGAACCCAACAAAGGCTGGAAGCTCGAATTGGTCATTGCCAGACTGATATTATACGTCCCACCTACGTACTCATGTGTTGAGGCCTTGTATTTTTCTGTTAGCTTGGTTCAAAAGCATGTGGTGCTTGAAGCGGTCACGTTGTCCGCGCAAGAGAAAGAACATACCCTTGAGTGGCCGAGTTCCAATGAGGAGCAGCAGAAGATGTGCAAAGTTGTGTCTTCGGGTTGCTACGGGCCGGGGAATAAGAATAACCAGTACCTGAGCGCGTGGTTAGAAAAGTCTTGGGCAACAAACATCCTTGAGCTTGATAAATGCCGAGAGGCATTTCGAGCATTCGAAAGAGTGGCGATTCACTGGATAGTATTTTCTCATTTTCTTCTTGCGGCTAACGCAAATTGAAACAACAAAATGTTGGCAGCAGGCCTGTGCGAAAAAATGCCCTCCGTGAAACGTATTGCAAGAGTCAAGACCGATCATTGATTTCACCGCGAGCTCAGTAACCTTACCTCCTATCCTCCTTGTTCTTGGCCGGAATAAGGATGTCCCCCCGGTTATCAAATACGTTGTGGGGTATATGGTGGAGAGATTTCATCTAAGCATGACTGGCAGTCTGTGGCGATCTGTAGATTAGAAGGTCAGGAGGAAGCATAATTCGAGAGAAATCTAGATCGAAGTCTGTGCGTACCCGACCAAGTACCAAGCGTTCCTTCGTCCGGGAGTATCGGTCCGAATTCTTGAAGAGTGCCTTGGCCCTTATAGTCGGGAGAACTCAAATTGTAAAATTATACCCTATGGCCTCCTGTGGTGTGGCGCTTGGTCTATGCATCCTCGACGGTGAGATTTTGGTGAGGTTCAAATTTATCTTTTGCATTTGTCACAAGGGTCACGGCGGACGTCATCGCGTCTCGTGCATTGCTCTTTTGCTTCGTACTATGCATTTTCATTACCTTCAATGCACCCTCCTACTCCGTGGTTTTTGAGAGTAGGTTTGAGTCAGGGAGTAATGCTAACTATTACCTCTGTACAGCGTAGGCGAGCTCGAAGAACGCATGCAGACGAATTTGTGACGGCAAATGGTACTGCAAGCGGAAGGTGGCTTGTAACAGCCGTGAACGGGTTGAGCGCGGAGTACCCAGGCAGACCCAGGCGAGTGTCGAGTAAAGCGCTGTCCATTCTATTCGTACTTGTATTGCGGTCCACTAATGATCCTGATGTCCTTGTGCAAAGGGCGACCCGCCCGAACAACTCCAAATGAATGTGGGGTCATTGAAGCTGAGAGAGGGTGACGAAATGATCCAGAGGCATTCAAAGGTTAAGATAATCGCTAGGCGAACTACCAAAAGTGGGGTTGGCAGAGCAGAGCGGAGACGGCAGTTCACTTTCAGGATGAATTAGCCGAGCTGGCCATGGGCTACCCATTTCAACGGCGAAGTCGTCTAAAACTCAAAGGTCTGAACGCTGGATTTATACATCGCTGCCTACGTAAACAATGTGAACATGCCTCACGCATAGCAGAAAGACAGACCCAAGGATCTACCATCAAATAACTTACCATCTTTGCCCGCCCTTATCGCAAATATAGAAACATGATGAGCCATTGCAGCAATTGCGTACGGAATGCGGAGAACTGGAAGTTTTTTGGCCGAGAAATCAGTCACATCGACGAGACTTTGCCGAGATTATGGGGAAAGCAGGCCACCGAGTACCCCTCCACTGAAATCTAAAAAAATGGGAAAGGTCGGAAAACGCATCATATGCAATGAAGTTGAAGGGACTTACTTCGTTGTGACCGTAAGTAGTCCATGATGTTGGTGGTAAGCAGCAAGACGAGCAAGTTGAACTGGGCGATCATTGACGTCCAAATCAAACGAAAACAAGCTCTCAAAATTGACGTTCACCTCCCTGAGCCCTCCACCACTGTCCACTCCCAACTTCACTACCAAATCCACGAATCCCTTTTGTTTTTCTGGGAACGATATCGAAACACTGAGGATCATGTTCCACCCAACATGGCCAACCATTGTCCGGAAGCCTCGTGGAGGTGATCACGACCCGTTCTACTGTTGTCAGTTACCTGATGGAGGGCGAGTGTAGATTTTGCCAAGCTACATGGGAATACCTTTCGGATTTGAACGTATGTAGAAGCGCCCACGCAACTTGCCACCGCCCATAAGAATCGACCTCTCCAAGCGATCATTGGTTGAAATGAAGTCAAAGAAAGGTGCGACAAGACCGCCATCGACTCGAGTGGAAAGCACAGGGTAAGTTGGTTCTGAGCATGTAACTTGTTGTTGTGTTCTGAATCCGTCAATTAGGGCCTCCGTCTTATGGGGCGCTTCATCGCCAAGTATACATGGTGGGGAGATCAGCAACTCGCAGAGGGATCAAATCAGGAGCACAATCATTATTAGTGCGCATATTTCTTCTTAAATGGATTCTCAATCATCGGAAATTTACCTAGATGTGGGTGGGTCTGACTCGGACGCATCGCGGGCGACCTCAGCGGTAAAGAAGAGCAACACGTCCGAGTCGGCTGGAGGTTCGCCCCATGCCAGTTCTTCATCCACTTCGGATCGAGAACAGAGCTCTACACTGGAGGAGTCGAGTGTGTCCACCGATTCAGGCATGTATCCTTCCCAGAACCTTTCAAGGCAAGTTGGGTTCAATTCTTACTCTTTGGTTATCCCGTTCAGGTCTTGGCAGCACTGGTGAAGTAGACGGAAGACAGGTCTGTCTGTTCTCTTCTCAACCTGTCCACTATGCTGACGCTGGGCAGTCTCCACACACAGAGGAGGACGATCCCGTTGAAGAAGAATCCAGTAACTCCATCTACGAGCGTCACATGTATCTCAAAAAGCGTGGTTTTCCTCTTTGGATTCCTCAGCCCAACACGACACTTTCTCGTTCATATCAACGACGAGGTGTCAGCATCGGCGATGTTGGAATTTTCACTTCAAACGGTGGCTTCGACTTCCTCTTCAATGTTTGCTTGCCCGCTGGGGACCCAAGTAACCCTGACGAACTTCCTGAAGGCTTTTCTCGCCTTGAGCTGAAACCAGCAGATGTTTGCAAATTCCATGCTCATTCTTCGCACAGCCATTTAGCCAGTCCAGACGTAAAGAAGCGAGAGTAAGTCGCTGATCCCTTCCTCATCATCTTGGGGGTACTAACGAAGGTTGTAGCAGGGCAATATTTGAATGCTCCGGTTCTGACGGCGCTATTCTAGCGATGCCTAAAGGCGCATACGACGAAGATTTGAAAAATATTAGGAGATTTAGAGAATATACATTGATTCACGCTGAAAGCTGGTATCAGTACGCCAACGGGCCTTGCGGTCGAGAAATTGGCAATGGGGAACTTCACTTGGTCACAGGGTGTGACAAGACAACCTCGTGGGGAATCGCAACCTACTCGCATCTCCAGTCGAAACGTCCTGAAGACAACGTGTCCCTCTTAAGATTCAATCCTGTTGGCAACGAACGTCAAGGTCGATATGCGACGTATGAATGGGACTATGTGGGTGTGGCACAGGCAAAGTCTGGTCCCGAAGAGGATGAGCTTATGGATTTAGGGGTCAACGACTCTGTTCCTCTACGAAATCAGTGTACCTTCACCCGGTCGCTTACCCCCGCTTTCGGTGATGATGACTGGGAGCGTCTCCAATTGAAGGTAGCGTCTTCAGTGAAGGATGAAGCCTCGATGCGATCCCCCAAGAGCCCTTTCCCTTTAGTTTTGGGTGCCATAAGTTCTCTTCCAGGTATGCTGTCTCCTACTTCCCCTGATTGTGCCCACTCCAACCGACATCATTTTGAAGGTCGCATAGGCTTTTTGCGTGGTCATAGGCGCGGGGGTAACTCCAAGGTAACCGATTCAATGACTCCTGCACAGGTCAGCGCTTCCGGTTGTATCATACCCCTCTTCAAATGTTTACTATTTTGAAGACAACAGCAGCTCACCCCGCAGCCTATGTCATTGACATGATACTGCGAAAGGTGCCGCTTATTACTACGTAGAAACTCAAAACCTACTACTAATCAGTCCTTGACCGTTCATAGTGCCCCAAAGCGAAGGTTGTAGTTGTCCATGATAGCAACTGGTGCTCTGTGATTCGAGACTTAGTGAGCCATGAACTTCATGACTTGACGTCAAGTGTAAAGTGGATGTTAGGATGATGATTGGGCATATACAGCACAAGCCCTTCCACGCCGCATTCAAGAGGCTTTTCATTTCGTTGAAGAGAAGAATGGTGAGGTTTACTAACCATGGTGCTGCCAGGTGTTCAACATTTCTTTCCCAGGTGCCGTCTATCTAGAAGAGAAAACAAAGCCATCTCAACACCTCAATGCATCATCTGACGTCTCTGTCAAATTAGAGGTTGAGGATCTCCCACTCTTCGAGGATCGAAAACGAGGGCTTTCGCAACTTTTCGATTCTTTCGAATCACGATTCTAGCTGGGTAAGTTTATGGACAATTCACTCCGTTCAATGATTCACGGACTTATTCTATGAGCAGGATCCTTTCAAACTTGACACTAACGATTTGTACAACAAACATCGCATCATGCTAAACGCTGTCATCAAGATCATGCTCCAGCGACTGAAGCACAACATTAGCTCCTTCGGAGTCTTCCCCCTTCCTGGATACATTAAAGTGTCTGCTGACGATGGCCATGGTGGTGCCAAACCTGACTTGTTCGATGTTTCTGGTGAGGCGGACTCAAGTTTTTTGAAGGATAAGTTCGTTCGCATGGAGAGCAAACTTCGCGATCAAGCTCCTCCTGATGACGAAGGTCATCCGATGTCGGATGCTGCTCTTCTCGATCCCACCTCCCAACCTCATGAAAGGGAGCATTCCACTTCGCCACCGAGTTTGCCTCAAGCGGTGGCGTCCCCGTCACATGCCCCTGGCCCTCAACGCAAAGGGAAAAGATTTGCCAAGGAGGCGACTGACTACCTGAAGGCCTGGCTGGATCGTCACAGCGATTTTCCTTATCCAAGCGAGGACGAGAAGACGCAATTGTGTCATACCACAGGCCTGAGTAGGACCCAATTATCAAGCTGGATGGTTAGCGTCAGTCACAAGAAATGCTTATTCCCAGGAATCTTCAACTAATCTTGATTTGCAGGCAAGGCGTCGACACAGGGTGGTGAGAGGAGGAGAAGTGAAACTTTTTCTTCCGAATATAGGAAAGAAGGTCGTGGTTGTGTTGTGTTGTATAACTCCAAAGTCAAAAACACGCTTGATATGAGCCTCGTTCATACGTTTGGCCATGCAAGGTGAGTGATAATTACAAAGACACCCTTGTTGTTTCTGAATTTCCTTAAACGAAGCATTCTACATTGGCAGTGTACGGTTCAGTCCTGATAGTAAACTGCTCGCCACAGCATCCGAAGACAAACGAATCAGGGTTTGTCACTCGAGAAGTACATTAAATACGCAGGCTTACGTTCGTTACAGATATGGGACATAGCGAATGGGCGGGTTCAACAGATTTTCGATGGCCACCAGCAAGCAGTCTACTCTCTCGACTTTTCAAGAGATGGTCGTTTCATCATCTCTGGCTCAGGCGACAAAACAGTTCGAATTCGGGACTTGCACGACAAGTCTTACAGGGTACTTACCATCGGTAACAACGACGGCTCCGAAGACCCCGGCGTTATGTCGGTGACTATCTCTCCAGACGCAACCCTGGTGGCTGTAGGCAGCGGGGACACCATTGTATGTATATGGGACGTTGCGACGGGAACCCTGCTTGAGCAGCTACAAGGCCACAAGGACAGCGTATACAGCGTGGCGTTCACATCTGATGGAAAAGGTCTGGTCAGCGGGAGTCTGGACAAGTCTGTGAAATACTGGGACGTCAGTGTACTTGCCGCAGGGAGTGCCAAAAACAAGCCAGTGGGTGCAACATCTACACCCACCTTATCAGGGCCATCTAGCTCCAGCCTGAGTGACAGGTAGTCCCGTGTATGATGGATTTTGTGGGCCACAAGGTAGGAATGCATGACTTTCCAAACAACCTAATGCACATTTGATATTCCACAGGACAATTTTGTCCGTCTCTGTGGCACCTGACAGTGGGTGGCGTCGGGCTCGAAGGACTGCTGCATCCACTTCTGGGATCCCTCTCCGATTCATGCTTAAGGGTCATAAAAATTCAGGTCCGTTCTTTTACTTTGTGACTCATCAACCTTCTTGATCACAATCACCACTACTAGTCGTTTCCGTTGATCTGAGTCCAATGGGAGGAGTCCCCACAGGCAGTGGCGATCGCTTGGCTCGAATTTGTACGTATGCCTTTGCTAACCTTCTGAACGCAATCTGACTGTGGGCGCTAGGGCATTATACCACCGTTTGAGCTTCCCCTACCCGCATACATATTGTCTATCCAATCTATCTAGTTGAATATTCCTTCATATATGTAAGTAAGTAGCAAAGCAAGTTGAACTCGCCGAGCATTGGCGGCCGAACAAAATAAGAACACATTCAAACTAACTTCCAAACTCTCAAAGCCGACCCATCACAAGCACCCCATCCACTCCCGACTTTTCTACGATTCCCTTTTTGTTTTGCTGGGTATGATATTGAAACATGTGTTCCACCCAGCACAGCCAATCATTTTACCCGAAAGCTCCCGGAGGTGTTCACGACGCGTTCGACTGCCGTCACTTACACGATGAAGGGCGAGTGTAGATTTTGCCACATGGGAATATCTTTCGGGTTAGAATATAGAAGCGCCCATGCAACTTGCCACTGCCCATAAGAACCGACGTCTCCGAGTCATTGATCATTGGTTGAAATGAACTCAAAGAGAGGTGCGACAAGATCGCCATTGACGCGAGTGGAAAGCACAGGGTACGTTGGTTCTGAGCATGTAGCTTGTCATTATGTTCTGAGTCCGTCAATTAGGGCCTCCGTCTTATGCGGCGCTTCATCGCCAAGTATGCACGGTGTGGAGATAAGCAACTCGCAGAGGGACCAAATCAGGGCTACAATCATTATTAGTGTGCACACTTTATTTCTCAAAAGGATTCTTAATCATCGAAAGCGCACCTAGATTTGGGTGGATCTGACTCGGACGCATCACGGGCGACCTCAGCGTTAAACAAGAGCAACACGTCAGAGTCGGCCGGAGGTTCGCCCCATGCCAGCACTTCATCCACCTCGGATCGAGAACAAAGCTCTATACTGGAGGAATCGAGTGTCTCCACTGATTCAGGCATGTATTCTTTACAGATTCTTTGGGTTTGGTGCTTACTCTTTGGTTATCTCGTTCAGGTCTTGGTAGCAGTGATGAAGTAGACGAAATAGAGGTCTGTCTGTTGACTTCTCAGACTGACCACTATGCTGACGCTGGGCAGTCTCCACCCACAGAGGGGAATACCCTTGGAGAAGAGCCTAGCAGCTCCATCTACAAGCGTCACATGTGCCTCAAGAAGCATGGTTTTCCTCTTTGGATTCCTCAGCCCAACGAGAAACTTTCTTCCTCATATCAACGACAAGGTGTCAGCATTGGCGATGTTGGAATCTTCACTCCAGATGGTGGCTTCGACTTCCTTTTTAATGTCTGTTTGCCCGCTGGGCACCCAAGTAACCCTGAAGCACTTCCGGAAGGTTTTGTTCCCCTTGAGCTGAAACCAACAGATGTTCGCAAATTCCATGCTCATTCTTCGCACAGCCATTTAATCAGTCCGTCTGTAAAGAGGCGAGAGTAAGGCGCCGATCCCCTCCACATCCCAGGGGTGCTAACGAAGGTTGTAGCAGGGCAACGTTTGAATGCTCCGGTTCTGACGGAGCTATCCTAGCAATGCCTCAAGGAGCACACCACGAAGATTTGAAAAATATCAGGAAATTTAGGGAATATGCAATGATTCACGCTGAAAGCTGGTATCTGTACGCCAAAGGGCCTTGCGGTGAAGAAATTGGCAATGGGGAACTTCACTTGGTCACGGGGTGTGACAAGACAACCTTGTGGGGAATCGCAACCTACTCGCATCTCCCATCAAAACGTACCGAAGACAATGTGTCCATCTTGCGGTTCAATCCTTTTGGTAACGGACAGTCTTCATATACAACGTATGAATGGGATTATGAAGGCGCAGGAGAGGCGAAGTCCGGTCCTGAACAGGAGCAGCTTATGAATTTAGGGGTCAACGGCTCCTTTCCCCCACAGAATCAGTGTACTTTCATCCGATCGCTTACCCCTGCTTTCGGTGATAGTGACTGGAAGGATATCGAATTGAAGGTAGAGTCTTCAATGAAGGATCAAGCATCGGTGGGATCCCCCAAGAGCCCTTTCCCTTCAGTTTTACGTGCCACGGGTTTCCTTTCGGGTATGCCGCCCCCTGCTGCTCCTCACTGTGTGTACTCCAACTCACATCATTTTCAACAAGGTGGCATCGGTTCGTTGCATGGTTCTAGTAGCGGGGGTAGCTCCGAGGTGATTGATTCAATGACCCCTGCACAGGTCAGCGCTTCTGGTTGTATCATACCCCTCTTCAAATGTTTACTATCTTGAAGACAACAGCAGCTCACCCCGCAGCCTATGTCATTGACATGATGCTGCGAAAGGTGCCACTTATTACTACATATAAATTCAAAACCTGCCACTGATCAGTCCTTATTCATAGTGCCCCAAAGCGAAGGTCGTAGTTGTCCATGATAGCGATTGGTGCTCTGTGATTCGAGACTCAGTGAGCCGTGAACTTCATTATTTGATTTGAAGTGTAAAGCGGATGGTAGGATATTGATTGGACGAGTACAGCCCAAGATCTTCCGCGTCGAATTCAAGAAGCATTTCATATCGTTGAAGAGAAGAATGGTGAGGTTGACTGACCACAGTGTTGTCAAGGATTGAACATTTTTTCCCCAGGTACCGTCTATCTAGAAGGCGTTTCTGGTGGCAAAATCACCGGTCTTGTAACTCCAGCGCCAGTTCCCGTGACACCTGTCCGTGGGAAGTCGTCATCAGTATACTCCGATAAGGGCGAGACTCCTGGCAAGTTCAATTTGAAGGACCTGCTTGCGAGCACCCCTGAGCTCAGCAGAAAGAGCTCGCAGCGCTCAACGTCGTCCAAGAGATCAGTTTCAGACGCGGGAAAGGGGAATGGACGGCCCAGGAGTACAGCCGGAGATAGCACCGCTAGTTTGACTCAAAAGTATGGCGTGTCTGTTGTCACAATCGGCAAAGGGGCTGCAAGCGTCATTCGGATCGCACACCGCAGCGAGGAGAAGCTTTATGCCATCAAAGTGGGTTGATAAGTGTGTCATGCAAGTGCGTTCTTGTCGCTGAGACCTGTTCCAGGAATTCCGCAAACGCCGCAAAAATGAGTCTGAAAAAGAGTACGTTAAGAAGCTCACTGCCGAATTCTGCATCTCGTCTACGTTGAATCACCCGAACGTTGTTGAGACCGTCGACCTTATCCAGGACGAGAACCAACACTGGTGCGAGGTCATAGAGTTCTGCCCAGGCGGTGATCTGTACCACGCCATCAAGAAAGGGTGAGTAAGTCATCAATATTCATTCCTCCGCTTCTTGGTCTGCTGCTTGGCGTTGCGGTTGCGGATGGGGTATACAAGGAACACATTGTTTTTTGTGGTTTTTCTCGTTGTTCGGTGTTTCATGTGTTTAGGAGCAGGACGGAACTCGGCGTTTTGGGGGCTTGCCGAAATTCTTTTTTGTGATGTGGGTTGTCGTCCCGAAGGATGGTGCGTATGCATCCTTTCCCGCTTACTTTTCTCATTCCTGATACCATACGGCGTTCCATGCTGATTCGTTGTTGCCAGCGGAATGAGCCCAAGCGAAGCCGAGTGCTGCTTCAAGCAGATCTTGATGGGAGTATCATATCTCCATAGTCAGGGTGTCGCGCACAGAGATATCAAACCAGAAAATCTGTTCTTCGATACTAAAGGACACCTCAAGGTTGTGGCATCCTCACTTCCTGTCCTGATTTCCCTTAATGTTGTTGCATATGCTCCTTAGATCGGGGACTACGGGGCATCGACGGTTTATCGTCTACCCTGGGAAGCAACCATCCATATGTCCACCGGACTTTGCGGAAGCGAGCCGTACATTGCTCCGGAGCAGTTCCTAAGCAAACGTGAGCCTCGCCCGTTGTTATCCTGGTCATAAACAGAGTCAGCCTGACATTTCTTGCTTTCTCTCGATTCATCTCCTCAAATCCTCCCTGCACACTTCATTCAAACTTGCCATTGGCTTGTTCCCATTGTGCCGATCTCCAGCTTACGACGCGCGGCTCGTCGATATATGGGCGGTCGGCATCGTTTACTACTGCTTGCACTTCCAAGAGCTGCCATGGCGTGCTGCACAGCCGGCTTCGGACCAGCTGTACGCTGCGTACGCCTCGGCCTGTGCGAACCCCAGCACATCAGTATCAATATGCCCTCCGACGATCAACAACTTGAACCCCCTGGCGTGTCGGAGCCTTATACGTAAGATGCTCGAACCAGACCCGCGCCACCGATCAACTATTGAGGAGGTCGTCAACCACGCGTGGGTTAAGTCGATTGAAATATGCCATGAAGTGTCGCAGCCAACTCATGTGCATGTGAGTGCGCGGGCGACGGGATTAGCATATCTAGGGGATGAGGGCGCTTGAAGATCCGGTAAGCTGCTCTCGCATGCATCTTGACTAGAAGCCGTGGTTGACCTTTATTTCGATCAGTGTGATCTTCATTCAACACCTTATCTATCATTCTTCATTCAATGTGACCAGCACGTTGCCGCTTTTCCTGTTCATGGGACTGCGTGCTGTGACAGGAGTTGGAGGTGCACTATTTGGAAGACATTCCTTAACAACTACCTCCCCCGTCTCTGTCGTTTCTTTTCCATCGTACTCTGATCGTCGTGTCCTTCCTTGTTTCCTTGCTCTTCAGCTTCAAGTTCACTTCATTTGTATTTGGCCTTCATTTAACAGTGTATTCCCTTTGGTTTCTTGTGTACATGTTGTTCCATTTGTCTCTTGTCTTGACGTGCATCTGCATTATTGTAATTAATCATCATTGCGCTTCCTATCCTTAGTTTTGATCGTCCGGACTCAATCTCAACTGCCGGTTGTCGGATTGCTCCCTAGACGAGCGCCTAGGCCTGCCACTTGTGTTGTTGGATTCGACCATCACCGTGCTAGTCATTGCGGCACGATAACTATGAAATTTCCACCAACCTCGGGGCCAGGAAAGCGAGAAACTGACACACTCCGAGAGAGGTACCACAAGAGCCCCGTCCACAGCAAATAAAGGCCTCTCCGCAATGGCAAGCGAAGGGTGTGTCAATTTTTGATCCTGGAGTCCATATACTGGTCTGACTTCATTACCAAGCCATTTTTTTTTCCGAACGTTTCGTCTTCAAGTGCGCTTGATGCTAGTAAATCCCACGAAGACTTTCGAAGCAGAGCTACGATTTCCACCAGTACGCTTGCTTCAGACTTCAAAAAGATTTTGACTCATCCGAGGAAGTTCCTCAGCTGTGGGATCTCACTCGGACACATCGTGCGCCACACAATTCGGAGCACTGAGCGCGTCGGCTTCGGTCAGGAACGCACCCCCAGACCAAGAACAAAGCTTGACACTGGGTGCGTCGAATTGCTTCGCCCATTCAGGCATGTACTCTATCCTCTGGACAACATCCTACTGATTTTTGACCTGATGTTATGTAGGCCATAGCATTAACATGTCTTTCAAACGCGAGGTTGGCCTTCCTTCTCATCAGCGAGAACAAAGCACTAACCCTGGCCAGTCTTCACTCACAGGGCAGCAGAGTCCCGACGAGCCTGGCACAAGAAAATCGCGCAGGACATCGCCTCACCCTCACAACAAATTCGAGCCAGAGGAGGATTCGTTTCTGCTTGGAGTTCAAAGACCGGAGCCCTCAGACGTTTTTGACTTTCTTGAGCCATTTCACCGGTTGTCGGACATGAAAATCGGTTCTCCTCCTCCGTCCAATGGTCCAGATGATAAAGAGCTGAAGGCCCTCCTCATGGCCATGTTTCGCTGAATGAAGATTAACACATTTCCTTCGGAAACTCCAACTGTCTTTCTGCGCCCATTACCGTGTCGCGTTCGTCTAGTGATGGGCATGATTTTATTTTGGACATCTTGGCCGCTTCCCCCCAGCCCACATCCCATATCCATCAGCGGCCTAACGCTGGTGATAGTTTGTCTCGCCTAGACAGATACAAACCATACATTCTGTACGTCGGGCTGATGTCGTGCTGTGATAAGAGTTGAAGTTCGGGGCCAGTGACCTTTGACCCCATTTCTGGATAGACTTGCCCAGGAATCTGTCAATGGCGTTAACGTTCATACTGTGCTCGTCGAGCATTTACCCATTCGCGCTGGACTCTAATGTAGATTTGACACTATTACCCCTACCGCGTTTTTCAAAGAAGCTTATCACCTAAATAGCTAGCAGATCAAATGTTTTTGCCTCCACTTTTCATCATGATTTGGGCCTTTGAATTCTTCGCGTCCTTCCAGATGATTTTCCTATGACCCCGTCTTCTACACCATTGCGGCACCATCAAGCCCCTGTATATCTACAAAACGCAAAAACTTGAAGAGGATAGGGGCGATTGCGTCAATACTACGGAGGGCTGCGGCAGTCTGCAACCTCTGATTCGCTGCCTCTCCATCTAGTTCGTCATACTTAACGCTTACGAAAACAAGTAAACTTTACGAAGACATTGCCAGGAAATCGAGGGACCAGTTGTGAAAAGAGTCTAACAAGGAGGACGGAAACCCTAAGCCCATGAAAACCCGACGTTTACATCCAATTTACAGTCCCGACCGCGTTTCGTTTCCCTCATTCACTTTTCAATCCTCCGTCATTCCTTGGTCATTCCCATGTAGCTGCTGAGGACAGAATCGCGCAAGAACGCGTCCCGCCAGCGCGGCCTGCCTACCCTAGGTCACGAGGAAGCAGTGGAAACAGGCACCAATATTTTGAATAGCCAAAATAGCGATGACAAACTTGGCAAGTGAGCATGGATGTATGGAAAGCAAGACTGATGAGATAACTCTAGCGTCTTGTGAGATGTAGGAAGGAGGGAAGTATTTAATATGATACAGCAGATATTTAAATGCAAGAAATCCGTAGACACGGATAACCTGTGTGTGCCTAGGACTTGCCCAACTAGCTCAGATTGGATCTTAAATGATAATTGTAAAATCCAGAAGATGGGCAAGACCTGAGTGTCTGAAAGCTCGATTGTGTGCAAAGCAACTAGCTATACCAACCAGAGTGTAAGCTCACAACAAGCAAGTTGGTTCAGCACAGAACTACCCAATCGAGCGGCACTCTGGGAGAGAATTTTGGATTGAAATACAAATACAAGAGAGATAATGTGGGTTGATATAAATACAAGGGAGTTAAATTCAGTATCATAATAGGGGTTTGAGCAAGGTTTGAGGCAGAATTTTGTGGGTTGATATAAGTACAGGATAGATTACACAGAGAGGTTCCCATCAGAGGCGACGATAAGTGCGGAAGGGATTTTGTTGTTAATGCGAAACTGTTCAAAGATTGCAGCCAAGGAGTCCAGGTGGGACTTGTTGTATGCTTTTGATGTGCTCATGGGAAGAATCTCCTCCATACAGCACCAGTAGAGTAGAAAGGCGAGAGAAGTCCAGCCACCTGTTGTGGTGACAATTTCAGGTGGTACGTCAGCAAGGAGAAGTTCAACGGCGCTGCCAATATGAAAACTATGGCCCAAAACATGGGCAAGCATAGCAGACGACCAGATCTGGGTGCAGAAATTAAGAAATTCATGTTTGAGAAGGATCTTTGACTGAGAAGAGGTGGTCATGTATGCGAAAAGAGGAGCAGAGTGGTTGGTGGGTGAGTTAACAGCAAGGTGATTCTTCAATGCAGTCACAGGGCAAAGGATGTCGTCCTGTGCAGTAAGGATCACAGAAGCGCCAAGTTCCTTTGTGGTCTTGGTCCAAGGAATATGGAAACTTGTGGAAGAGGAACCATCTTGCAACGTGCGGAAAGTAATCCTAGAAGAATGTAAGAGAAATATAAAAGGTTAGGCAGAAGGCACACATAACAGAGCGAAGGACATGATATCTTTCATCAAATGCAGCAGCAGTGGTGACGGCCAACTTGCCTAGCTGTCGGCAACTAAAAAATGTGCAGAGAGCAAGAGCCCAGACCACTGCATGGAAAGGAGTAGAGAGGTTGAGAGCACAGCGAAGAGCCAAGAGGTGCTCAATAGAGATGGGGGCGCGGAGAGGACGTCGATGTTTTGTCCCTTCCTTGTTCGCAGACACCCAGGCCAGTTGAACCCATTCGTTGTCTCCAAACCAAGGAGCATGATTGACGACATGCCATGCATGGATACCAGATAGCCAGGAGCATATAGTATTCCCGGCTTGTCTACCTTTGTACTCTCCAATGAAGGCACAAAGTAGGGGATAAGAAGCAGGCATTCATGCTTCTTCAGTAATACCCCATCTGTCGCAGAACTGGGTGAAGCGTAAAGTGCCGGTGGCGTAGGTGGTTTTGGTGTTAGGTGCATATGGACCACAGATTGTCATCATGGCACTATTGACCAAGTCTGGGTGGAGGGAAGTAAGAAGGTGCTGTCGATGACGAACAGCATGGTGTATCCCAAGCAAATAAGCGATCAGTGGTGGCAACATGAGGGCGTAAAGAATTTTGAGAGATTTGACGCCCTGCGTGAGGTTTCCTAGGTTTAATATGCCAGGACAATAGAGGTGACACATCAGGAGTAAGGGAATCAGTAGATGATGGTGATGGCAGAGGAGCTGTAGTTGTAGGAGTCTGAGGAATAGGTGATGTCAGAAGGCCATGCGATGTGGAAACAGGTGTGTGTGGAAGAGAAGATATGATATGAGGTTTAAAAGGATTAAACAAATTGTGACAACATGTGGGGCGCAGAGGAACAAGATGTGAACCACCCACAGTCGTCTCGACGACATGCGTCGCTGGTTTGAAAGGATGATCTAGGCTGAATGAAGAGGTAAGAGTAAGACAGAGAAAGGCAGAGAGAGGTATGGAAAGGAGCTAACCTAGGCATGGACAAAGGAAGAGGATAGCTCATCAGGGAGCTTGAAAGACGGGAAGATTTGCTTCCCAGCAGGTCCTGGTTCCCCACACAAGATAGGATCAGCTGGATTAGCATGAGACTCAATATAAACAGTGTTGAAAATGAGGGATGTAGCCATGAGAATGAGATGAGTGCAACGAACAGCAAGGTTCAGATAGATGTTGCCACTGCGGCCTTTATCAAGAGCGCCGATGGTGCCTTGATTGTCAGAATGTACAAGTAGATGAAGATCTCGAAGACCTCTGGACTCCAAGAAAAGAGTGAGGAGTTCAATAGCGACGGTTTCGAGCCAGCAAATGTCATGGCCCTCAATCTTCCAAGAAGACGAAAGCTGAAAGGCAGCCCATTTGCCACCAATGATAATGCCAATGCCCCACGACATGGAGGCATCAACATATAACCCAAGATCTGATAAAGGCCCAAGAGGGCGAAGGGATCAAGATATCCCCCGTAAGGTGAGCTTGATGAGCCACCACTTCAGGTCAGTAATCAGGGAGTGTGGGGGATATTTTGTGAGGAATTCGTCACCATGAAAGGTAGATGCAAAGTTAGAAAGAGATGGTAAATGGGAGCGACCGTCAAGGTGAATAAAAGCGATGTGACAAAGGGATCTGTGAATCTTTTCAACATCACGTAAATGACAAGGTCGGCCATTGAAGTCAGTCAGGAATTGGAGAACGCGTTGGTGGAACTTGTTTCTCTTTCCCTCCGGCAAACTAACAAGCTTCCAAGGGATATCCCAGAGAAATCCAATAAAAGTCGTGACAAAGGAGAACCATTCGTCACCCTTCTCATCGTGCCAAGGTACTCCCAAAGAGGATATGTGGTGAAGCATCTCTTCATGGTCGTAGTCATAGCGAAAGTCGCCATCGACGAAGAGGCCAGATGGCGAAGGGAATCGGAAGGCCTTCAGATCATCTTCATATTTGGGCACTGGGAACACTCCTTCGGCTCTCCAAATGTCCACAATGGCATTCACAATCATACCGGCATTGCTGCTGGTGCAAGCGGCTCCGAATGGGTGAGCGTGATTAATGAAGAAATCATCGGAGGTGCCTTGGACGACTAGCCAAGGCTTATGGGATGGGAGAACAGGGCATGTCCAATGGAATTTCTTGATATCAAGGGTACACGCTTGTGTCCCAGGAGGTGCATGAGAGATCTGTGCAGGAATCCAGAAACATGAATAAGATGTACAAAAGGAAGATGAATCCAACAGGAAGATGAGAGTGTGCAAGACACAGAGGAAAGAAGAGCAATGATTGTAACATGCATATTAACTCCAAAACATAATATGTACAGTATCATGATACCCAACACATGAAAGAAGAGTCATCACACTCAATGCGTGGAAGAAGATCATCACACTCGATGTGTGGAAGAGGGTTCATCATACTTGACGCACGGAAGAGAAGTCATCACGCTCAATGCATGGAAGATAATCATCACACTTGACACATGGAAGATAATCATCGTGCCAGCAGCACGGAAGAGGAAGGATGATATAGAAGACTAGGTAACTTGCATAGAGCAAAAATACCCAAGGAGCGACTGGACACAAGGCCAGCGCTAATAGAAAACATCTCCATGCACAAAACGCAAAGGAGATGTATAACAAGGAGGAAGGTAGCAAGAAAGGTGGGGAAAAGAGACAGAATAAAGGAGAGACTCACGATATCGGCGACTTTTGATGTGGTGTCAAAGTGCATAGGGAAGTCGTCCTTATGGATGTAGGAATTGACAGAGGCATGAAGCTTGGAAGCCTTCGAGAGGTGTTGACAAACCCTCAACTTGTCAGGCACCCCAGGCTCTTGTGGTTGAACAGAAACGATGAGAGATGAAGATTGAAAAGGGCCGTGCAAAATTTTTTCTGCCACCTTGCGAGAGAACGGGCCTGACAATCTGCTGGCCTTCACTTCTTTAGTAAGATAGTCGGAGACGGTGTCGGGGTAAGAGAGAATAGAAGGGTTGTTGGGCATGATGACGGTGTGGGAGAGTGAAGGCATGTGCCCGATAGTGTTCGCAGGTCCAGTTAAGTCCAGTTTTTTACCTCAAAACGATGCAACTGGCAACCGCAACCGGTCTAGACCGATCCAAATATTGAGGGACCGCAACCGGACCGCTTTGGACCAGTCCTAATCGGTCCACAACGCGAAAAAGACTGGTCCAGACCAGTTGCGACCGGTCTTTTGTTGTAAAATTTATTACACCACAGAAACTAAATATTACCTCACGTACATTGCATATGTAGATAGATATTTTAATTCTCTGTAGACTGACCAAAATTTTAAGCAATTCCGTCAAGATTTGACTGAGGTAGGGCAAAAACAGAAAGGACGTACATTTGAATCGCATGTATAAAAATGTTTTTTGCCATATCTCAACCAATTCTTGACCGTTTTTGATGATTCGGGGACGGAAAATTAAGTAAAATGTGCACGAGTAAGGTCCAGCACGTGATGGGATGAAAGACCAGTTGCAACTGGTCTGAACCGGTCTGTTTCGGTTTTTATATATTTACAAAAACATGGCAACTGGCAACTGGACTGACCACAAATGTGGGCAACTGCAACTGGAAAAAGACCGGACCGTGGTTCAGTCCAGTTCAGTCCTATGTATATTTTCAGTCCTGTAGACTGGACCTGCGAACACTAGTGCCTGATAGGAAACCCAAAGCAGAGGTTGAAAGGAAGGAGAGGGTAGCTGTCAAAAAGGCCATGTTTGCGCAGTAGAAAGTCGAAGGTGTCAGGATTGTATGGGTGCAAGATTCTGTGAAAAAGAAGAGAATCCTCAGAAGAGGTACAAGCTAGAGGGGGACGAGGAATGATAGAAGAAGAAAAGTCGGAATAAGAAAGAGGAAGAGAAAGGGACGCCTGCACAAAAGCATCAGTTTGAGGGTCTGTAACGGCAGATCCATGAGAACATGTGATGGCATTTGCTGCCACAGAAGGAGCAGAGGTGGGCGCACTTGTCTTTATGAGAGCATGGGTGCCTGCAGTCGCCTTGAAGGTTCCAGCTGATGCAAATGACTCGCTTGTTGGGGCTGAGGAGGTTGTGGTTGCTATACTTGGACCATATGGGCTTGCCGTCAGATCTGAACTTGATAATGACGGTGCTATCGGCATGTTGTGTTGCGTCGTGACCTCGCTCAGTGCAGATAAGGCAGTTGGGTGTCAACGAGGAGGACTTGCCACTGCCTGATGGAAAGGGCTGTGGGGGCCATGTCTGAGAAGAGCAGGAAGTGATATGTGGCATGAGTTTCCCAAGCGTCGCACTGAAAGGAGACTTGGTGGCGTCAGGCGCCATCATCCCACAAATATCAGCCATCATTTCATGCTGCTTCTCGGACAGCTTGTAAGCCTGGTAATAGCGAGAAGCATTGAATGCACCATATTTCGCCCAATGTTCCTGATGGAACTTCAGCTCATCAGGTTTCCAGGCATCATAAAGGTCGTCCTTTGTGTCCTGAGCAGTATAAAAGCAAAAGTGATCGTTGTACCAGTTGCTGTGAGCCTCGCCAGTGCCCTCTTCATCACGCTCTTTTTGAAAGAGATACATATTACCAGCAGCCTCTGTCCACTGGCTACAGGACAAGGAAAGTTCCTTCCTGAAGCGCACAGACAGTTTTTCAATATCAAGGATAACAGTACCCTTCGTCTCCCCGGGATTCGGATTAGTCTTCATTGTCGGCAAAGTAGAAGCCTCAACATTCAAGATATTCAAATTCTTATTAAGAAAGAAAGGCAGAGGCATGGCAATGCAAAGCTTGGTGTCAAAGAGGCTCTGAGGGAAGGTAGCCTGCCAAGGAACACCTACAACCCAAGGTACCATTTTTTGCCCATTCATACAATGCCGCTTTGCAATCCTAGCTTCTTCTGCAGAAAGTTTAACATCATCAGTAGTTTTCTGCTTCACTTTCAACTTGTCTTTAATCTCCTCATCAGCAATCCATTTAGCAAGCTTAGCATAAATCAGATTAGGAAAGGAAGCCGCAAAGGAAGGGATTTGGAAGCAATTCAAATCAGCTTCATCGAGAGAAACAAGAGAAGCTTCATCAGATCCAGGTTTGGTATGGACAGTAGGATCAGAAAGATGGTTAAAGGTCTTCCGAGACTGTACGGCATTTTGGTCTTCAATTTCCTTGTTCATCTGGAGAACAGATACCAAGGGAAGGCTCTTTAGCATTTTAATAATAGCAGGTGAAGTATGAGTGTGAGGAACATGGGGGGAAGAGTCAGGTGTAGCCACTGTCTGAGAAGGAGGTGTAGTCACTGTCTGAGAAACAGGTGTAGTGGCAGTCTGAGAGCTTCCAGCAGTAGCCAAGGTGTGAAACTGAGTGGTTGTCTGAGGGTTCTCGACAAAGTCACGTGCTTTTGATGGCAGCAGAGAATACACGAGGCGGGTGAGATAGAGAATAAAGCGTGCCAGTGTGATGCGACTTCACGCCGGCACGTTCCAGTGACCCAGGAAGGGGGACGTTGTCACCTGATGCCAGGCTCTGGTATCCCAGAGGGGAGGCGTTAGGCTGCCTGGCCATAAGACGATAGTGTGACCTGATCCACATTGTGTATATAGTGGTAATCAAGTAAAGTACAAAGAAGACGTAGCACAACTATATACAACAAGATACAAACAATAGTAAATGATGCTCCCATGTCATGTAGAATTACTAGGACACCTGTCCACTGTTACAAAGCCCCCCCATGAGATTGGAGCATCCATGCTAAGTAGTTTTAATGCTGTCCCCACCTTTGTCTATGATCCTCATCCCGTTTACATATGTTCTGAATTCGACGCCCTGCTCGCTTGCCACGCTTATTTCTCTTGTACTCAACGTCCTCCATTTGGTCCTCCACTTTGCCGTCCTCCAGGTCACTGTGGGAATTATGGGGGTAATCATATTGTACCGGATCTAGAACCAGGGGCTCCGCTGAGGCCATCATGTCGCTTATGGCGGCCAGGTGCACTGCTTCAAAGGCTCTGGGATCTGTGAATGCAGTAGAGTGAATGTCTGTATGGCTGTAATTTCCAGGATTGGTCTAACCAATTCAACGATTAGGGTTGTTCCGAACGTGACACAGGTCATGAAGAAAGTCCTTGGTCCGACGCCTTTTTTGATTACATTTCCTTGCAAATCCAAAAACTGAAGAACAATTCATCTTCCAAAGAATCATTCTCCCTTCCAGCTGGTGATTGTGATGGTGACAACAAATCTAATCAGCAACACGATTCAAACAAAGTGGGTTCTTGGATGATTTTTCTAAGGAGTGCACAGACTGACTGTGTGACCAGCGTCCTTTCAAGCTTGAAATGGACGATTGAGATAATCAACATTGTGTTCTGCTTCATGCCATCATCAGGGTCATATTGCGGCGAATAGAGAATGTCGATAACGACATGAAAGACTACTCCCTTTCCCCACTCAGACTGACGATTGCGATGATAATGCCAAACCTGACTTGTTGGATGGCTCTGCTAAGGCGAACTTAGTGTCTTTGAAAGGAAAACTCATTCACAGGGATACCCAACTTGATGTCCATGTCCCTTCCATTGATGAAGATGATCCCATGTCGGATGTCACCTCCAAGCTCACCTCCCAACGGCAGAGTGCTAATGGAGAAGATGTCATGCCCTACACTAACTTATCTAGTTCAAGTAGACCACATTCAGTTTGCCTCCCACCGTTCGCAGAGTTATCAGGTCATTATTATGTCCTTGTAGAAGATCTTAGCTCAGAGGTCAACAACTACATTCTGGAAAAGGCCTTTAGTGCTTTTGGCACCATGTCGCTCGTCTGTGTCTGTGGGGACAAGAATTCTGGAAAATATACTGGCTCTGGCTTCCTTGCCTTCAAAAGGGAGACAGATGCAGAGCTAGCCATCGCAACCATGAATGGCAAAAGGTTTGGCTCTCAGGAAATCGTTGTGAACTGGGGAAATCAAAAATTGCACCAAGCTCTTCCCACCACCACTGCTTCTTCTCATCGATGTAGTACGAGCGGTAGTGCACCTGCCCCTCCAGGCTCTGAATATTTACTTCACGACTCGCAAACTTTAGATAGAACCTTTCTAGAGGGATTCAAGGCCCCAGATTGCCCTACTGTTCTCGACTTGGACAGCATGGATCCCGAAGTGCTTTTGGGCACTCCCCTTTCAGATCCTGAAGACAGCACCTTATCCTCCGACACCCTGCCTCATCGCAAGACGGTTGCATTGGCGCACATGGTAAACTTCAGTCAGAAGAGGAGGAGACAACCAGCGAGGTTTCAGTGCACACTATGCACCCAAACCTTTATGTGAAGCATTCACTCTGAACTTCTCGCATAGCTGAAGCCAAGAGGGAAGGAGGAGGCAAGAATGGGTGGATCTGGGATCAACACCCATAAGTGAGCAATGAGCAGTTACAAGATACTCAGCTGGCCCAACATGATTATGCATACTGTAGGAAGTACAGATATACAAAGCACTACATGTAGTGCAAGAGGATGGCAAGACTGCTGACAAGATGGTGGTTCAAGACAAAAGATCAATATATTATGTAAGATATCCAAATCTAGCTATATACCATTGTTTGACTATGGCCTCTGGGCATTCCCTTCCAATCCTGTATCACACTTTACTACAAATTCCAACTTGAAGAGTAAGCCCTCTTCTAAAGACGTTGTTGCACATAAGCTTATCAATATATTCCAGACCATCTCAATGCTCACCTGGGCATTAAGGACCACCATTGTCGTTGTTTGAAGGCATTTGGTACTGGGACTGCTCTCCAGAGACATGTAAAATTTTCTAAAGTCTCGTGGGGACTTATGCAACAATCAACCCAACATGAAGATGATATAATCATGGAAATCGAAGGGTCTACGTCTGAGCGTGGGGACGACTAAGCCCAGTGGCATGTTCCCAGCAAGTTGCGGGACAATTCCCTCTCCACCTGCTTTGCTCTCTCCCTTTACACCTCCTGCGGAGGCTTCTTCAACCTTTCCAACGTCCATCGCTCATGATAGTATCCAATTCCTCTTTGCCCCATGCTCATGCACATGCCTCATCATTTGTTCAATGGTGGTCCTCAGTATTTGATTCCTCTCCATCTCATGCTGTTATCATTCAGCCCTCAGGAGTCCGCCATGCACATGCCTCATCTTTTGTTCAACGGTGGTCTGGGCCTCATTTGTAACATCTGACTCGCTTCCTCTGAGTCACAATCTAAGTTCAGGGCACATATATATCTATGAAAGGCTCTCTGCTACTTGTGTTACTGTGCCCCTGTCAGTGTATGAATTCATGTACCTTTACAGTAATGTTAGATTTGCAATTGGAGGTCCATTCTCGCACCCATTGTCCTAGAGCATTACAGCTGATATTTGAAGGAAATGTTGACATGTCGACAGCCATCGATAGGGCATGAGATCGATAATGATTATATTATTACATACATTCGAAGATGATATTTCCTTCTTTCTTTCTTTGCCTCTCTTTCACGCCTATGTATTCTTTTTCAGATCGCTGCCCATTGGTACATCAAGGAACTCCGAACGAGGATACATCAGAAAAAAAGGGGAATACCAAAATGGCCAGAGGGCACATGTATGCAAGGGGGTCCTAGGATTCAAAAAATATACCTGGGGTTGATTTTTTTTTTAAGCGCTTACTGGCTTGACCTACCTACCTATGTGGTCAGGCACATGTCCATATATGGTAATATGACATCATCATTCTGATCACTTTGCCCCAGATACATTGCAAACCCAATTTTATGAAACTATTTCCTACCAAATGCAATGTACTATTATGTAGATGATACTAGATATAGGTGAGTGACTTGTAAATTTTATTATATGGAACATATTTCAATGTTGGAAAGTCTAGCTTATCCAAATTTTGCAATTGGGGCATTTGGTGTTTAAATTAGTATCAAGAACAAGTTTCTAAACAACTTGGCAAGAGCTTGTAAGTGACATTTAATGACTATACTTCTTTAATTGTGCCAGCTTCGACTAGGCTCTGGTGTCATGTCTGGGACAAGGACACCGTTTTTCAAAAATTACATATATGGTAACTACATGTAAATATTATATAGGGCTGTATAGTATAGTGGATTATTGCGCTTTTCTGATCTCCTTTTATGGTCAACCTAAGTTCAATTCCAGCGATTGACATCTTTTTTTTTTTCACAGAGATAATTGAACCACAAATATGTATCTTGTTAGAAACTTGACAGATTGCTAGGAAAATTTGTGAAATATATCCCCTCCCTATCTACCATTTAAAAATGGGGCAGGCACCTATCAGGGGCCACAACTATGAGGGAAAAGGTTAGATATTATGAGTGAGTCTTCCCATCAGCATGCATTTTTACACATGAAACCACAAGACAGGAGATTATGCCAAATGCTCAGATTAATTGCAAAGCAGATTTATGTTCGAGTTCCTCATGTTGAGCTAACAAGGATAAAGTACTGAAAATTACAATGAACAGGAATAATGATGGCTCTAGTGTCATGTCTGGAACAGCTGAGAATGTTTCAATTCCTTTCAAAAATGTGCATGTAAGAAGCAGGATACTTTACACTGATTATATATGTAGAACTATAGATCAACAGCAAGGGTTGTTCAATTATGACAGATTTATTGTCAACTTTAGATAGATTTATTGCAACACAGTCCAGATCTTGAGATTGTTACAAATTCTTTTTATATGAAGGTCAAGACTATGTGAGGAAATATTAACAACATACCAGCACTCCTGTATCAGCATTTTTAAAGCAGTACAACATTTTTTTACCCATTGATTCTGTCTTTTTGTTGCCTTTAATGCAACAACCTGCCATTAGGAGGAAGAAGTGCATGTAAAGTGCTTCCACATACTCTGAGATATTCTACTAGCATTGACACATACTTTGATGAGCAATTGCATTAAGTGGAACCGACTTTATGCTCAGAACAGCACAAATTCTCTTTTCAATGATTTAAAAATGCATTCTGGGTTCATATTAGTGTATCCTATAATTTCCCACAAGGTAAGTGAGCTATTCAAATATTTTTCGGGCCTGCAGCGCATAGCACAGGGAGAAAAGCCAGTAGGAGGTCAACTACTTGAGCAGCTGCCTATTTGGGCATGGGTGTGAGACTGATGGCTTATGTCTGTTTTTGGACGACCTTATGTCTTTTTTTGGACATATCTCAATATAGACATAAATTATGTCTATATATGGACATAAGGTGTCCCAGACATGGCACCAGAGCCTTCAACTACACCCTTAAGACAGGCTCCAAAATGCAGCCACTCGTATCGCTCAATGAGTCTCTTCATACTATTAGCGGTATGACAAATAATATGATGTGATCATTGATGGGATGGACAAATAAATAGAACTAAGACTTGAGCTCGCGATAGAGCGGCTGCCAGAAAGGTTGTGCGGGGAACTCCGAAATCATTGATTAACCCTAACGTTGGGTCCCAACCTGTGGCCTTTTTGGGCTGCGTGACAGATCATCATACAGCAACAGTACTTGGGAACATGTAGTACAGAACTGTGCCGCAGTAGGCCACCATAGCATACTCATCATACTTCAACTTGTAATGTTGTGTTAAGTTCAATATAGACATATCTACTGGCTATAAATGCTCTTTTGTTGTAGAAGTAACTACCAGTTTGCTACCAGTTCAACTCCCTAGTTGTGATTGTGAGTGATTCAAGTTGGTGGCATACATGATTGAAGAACTTTCCTTCCAGAAACAAGTGCTCTGCTTGAGTATCATGATGCATAGCACCACTGGGAGAACCCTGTTATAGGCCTCTTCCACCTCAAAATGGCGTGCGCCAGTGCAATGTGGCGAATCTTCATCGAAAGAAAGGAATTGGGTCTGAATGACTTGATAGTGCACATCTGTTGGCCAAAGGAAGGATATGTCCATTCTCGAGATATAGCCATACTTAGAAAAATGATACCAGTTGAAGACGGCATAGATGATGTGCTCTGTAAACAGTGTTGGTGACCAAAATGTGACACGCCAGAGATTGGGACCCAACGCTAGGGTTAATCAATGATCTCCGAGTTCCCCGCGCAACCTTTCTGGCAGCCACTCTAAGTATCGCGAGCTCGAGTCTTAGTTTTGTTTATTTGTCCATCCCATCAATGATCACATCATATTATTTGTCATACTGCTAATAGTATGAAGAGACTCATCGAGCGATATGAGGACCCCTGAAAGTAGTGTTGGATCCCTGATCCCAAAATCGTCAAATTTGATGATTTTCCTCCAGACAGAATTTCACGATATTTCCCAAAAATCCTCCAGGTATGGCATCAGGCATAGGATTTTCCTAAATTATATCCGGACATTACATCAGGCATAGTATATGTGTGTAGGCAAGGCTCCGGCTGCCCAAAGGCCTTAAATTCCAATGTAAGACTGTAATATCTAATCTTCCTCGTCATCTGTCCCCATTTCAACGTCGTTACTGCCCTTTTTCTTCCTCCCGCTCAATGCTTGAACTGCCGAGTTTGAATACTAATGCATGTGTACTCTTGAACAAAGATTTCGCAAGAAGCTCCTCGACGGTGATGTTGTCATCAGGTAGAAGCGAGTGTGCCCAAATCTTAGGTATGTCGATAGACAACCAGCTCTTGAGGTGGATTCAATATGGGATACACTTTTCCTTTGCTGATCCATTCCAACTCATCCAGGGGTGCTGGATTGTCAAGATCAATGAACACCTGACTGGTTGTGTTTGTCATATCTTCGTTCGTGTACGTTGGATTGAACCTTTTCGATTCCATCATGTGTTAATTAAAGTTGAACCAGTGCACTTCACGTGCGCTCAAAAATGTGGGGACCACACTCATTTTGTCCATTTTCTATCCGGACGTAGATCAGGCCCCCCATAGCTTAGGGGATTTTTATCCGGACATTCAACTCATGGATTTTCCAAAATTTCTTCAATTTTCCTCCGGACAGGCCTGAGGCCTGCCCGGATTTTTTCCAAATTTTCCTCCAGATACGGATCAGGGATTTGACATGAATTTCAGGGGTCCTGTGATACGAGTGGCTGCATTTTGGAGCCTGCCCTTAAGATGGGTTTTGTGATATTGACACTTGGCAGAGATTAGATAAGATTGAAAAAAATATTACATAATGCTTCAATATCATCAATGCCTGCAGTGTTATTGAATTCAGACTTGATTCAGCCTGATCTACATATTTTGAAGTGCATTAGCATTACAAACCTGCAGAAGATGGCCTTCCAGGACTGTTTTGAGATCATTTTGTAGAGGGTTCCATTTTTTTTTCTCAGCCTGCGGCTGACCTACCTACCCAACCCAGCAGGGTACTGGTGTTTGTAGTTGCTACAGAAGAAAATAAAATAAAATAAAATAAAAAGAGGGAAAAAGCGAAAAAAAAGAGGAATATTTCTTATCTTATCTTATCTTACAATCATGAGCTATAAACTACTGACCCATCTTTCCATCTCCACCTACAACTGGCCTTTTGGATACCTGCTATCCCCCCCATCACAATCTACTCTGTTTGGAATTTTCCAGTAAATTTTATCTGCCCTACTGCCCTCAAATTCTGGCCTAGAGCATCATTTCCTGCTCTGATTCTCTTTGGAGGTAATTAGGGAGCTGAAATTGCTAGGACATCTTGTGCAGGCCTTTTATTAGCTAATTAAACTGTATTTTGTAATGGGCTAGCAGTGATATTGTGTGGGCTGAATTAATGCTCTCCTGTGATGATTCAAGAAAATGACTATCCACATCCAAATGATAAAGCCCTGGATTACTTTAAAAAATTGGGGTGGGAACAATTGATCCTTTGCTTGATGGGCTGTATGTGAAGCACCTCCATTTTGATGTTCACAGGCCATACTACAGAATATATTTTGTAGAAGATATCATTTTCATTTCCCTTTGCATGATTACAATTCTGTACAATTACAGTCAGGATCTCCCTGATTAATGCTAGATACTCACACATAAGCTTTAAAAACAACTGTTTCTCTGCAACAGTAGGATGGACATAACAGCATATTTTGTACCTTGACACAATCCCAAGTATCAGTTCCATTTTTTTACCCAAGGCTCAGGCATCAATAGTTGTTGCATAGCTGACTTGAATCTAATTTCTTCAGGAATGGGAAGAACCCCAGAAACCTTTTTTGTTTAGGCATACATTGAATGATTTACCCATCCTCTGATTTCAAATGACTGTGGCACTTCATCTCACATTTTTTCAGCTAATATTCAAAGCTGATCAATTATCCAAATGTCAAATTGACAATCACATTCTTTCCCTGTTGAATTTCTTATCCCAACAGTTATATTGTGATGTAGTTGAAAATTGAACAGTAAAATACATAGAAATTTTGTAATAGCTTGTATTTGCACAATAATCTCAATGTATCTTCTATTTTACATGATATAAAAATGTGGTGGAAGGCCGCAGAGAGGGCAAAAGTATACGAGCAAGCCAGAGATTACACAGCCACTTGCTATCACATAAGCGTGCTATAACATAAGCATAGCTATCACATAAGCGTAGCTATCACATAAGCGTAGCTATTATGTAATAGCAACTACAAACACCAGTAGTCTGCCCCCAACCCCCGTTCGGACTTTGGAATCCTAAGACCCCCTTGCATGTATGCATCAAGTATGCATTTTACAATCGGCAATAAGAGGAATTTTAGAACTGGTCGTCCATATCCTCCAAGACGATTTATCCAACATTTTTTTGGCTGAAGGGCCTCCGTATCTCCCACCGGAAATTGAAGTCGCGCATCTTGAAGAATGGGAAATGGATTCATTTACCCAGTGCCAGGGCTCAATGATTGGAGGAATTGCTAATTTCCCAAGGTGAGGTCCGTTTCAGATCTGGAAGGAAAACCGAGGTTGTTTCATGGAAATTGAGCAATGTTAGCTTGCTAGGATGGAGGAAGAGGGTAAGTAGATGTGAATTATATTGTGTTCTGTGTCGCTCAATGATTTCCTTTCCCTCATCTTTCAGGTTGTTCACTTCGTCATTGGGTGTCTTCGCATTATACATCAGTCTTTGTCCGTGCCGCATTGCGACTCACCGGTCATCGCTACAACTTCAAGCTCACCCACTTCCCCTGTGGCTGTAAATCTTGGGCCACGACAGTAACCACGCACACCCTCCTTCCTGCTTATTACGCCTACAATAGCACCCATCTGAACTTTCAAGCCTCAATAACCACATGAAGAAGAGGAACACCAGCATGTAGTGACCCACCTAGACCGCACTTTCAAATACCAAATGAAGAAGAGTAGCAACCATGTACTGGACCCAGCTCGTCCGATACGCATTGCACCAATCCCCTCAGCGTCCCACAAACCATCTCACCAGCTGAGAACCGTCTTTGTCGTTCTCATGCTCACACGCAACCTACCTCCACTGCACCCATCCGCCTCGAATTCGACCCCTCCATGCCAATCAAGGCATCCGACTATGTATTCCCGCCTTCGCCAACCACTATCCTGGGTCGGTCTTGGGGTATAGGTAACGAGCAGTGGAAGTCGAAAGTACTAAAAGTATACCCTATCGGTCGCTCCGTGGCGCGTCGTAAGGGGAGCGAAGCCCTTAAAGTGCACGTTTGGAGTGGTACGCAGGCGGTTAGTGACAGTACGATTACGACGAGTATGTCGTCGTTGTTGGATTTGCTGGTGCCTGCGCCGTTGATGCCCCCTGTACAAGTACAAGCGAATCACAAACCACCGTCCGTGGTGCCCCTTCACCAGGACGATTCGATGCAGCCTTCGTCTTCTTCGTTTCTTCGTTAACTCTTTCTGTTCCCGCCTCAGCTCTTCCGTCCCCTAAAACCCACAAGACAAAGACAAAGACACAGCTCCACTTCTGCAACTACAAGCACACCAACACCAGGTCCATCCATCTACGCGCCCAGTCGTTCTCGAGCCAATCCAAAAGCTCAACCCAAACCCGACCCATCCCCAACCTGGTTCAAAGGTCTTCGTCTCCTCAAAGACAAAACGAAGAAACCGGATAAAGGAAATCGAAGAGAACGGGATAAGCAGGTGGAAGACGGGAGTGAGATGCTCATTCAATGTCGATGAAGTCTGGTGGTCGACCTTCGAATGTCTCCGGTTCGGGTCCGGGGTGTTTGGCTGTTGATTTGGGAGCGGGGGTTGGAGCGGATGAGGTGGCGGAGAGGGTGTTTGATATTTAGGGGGCTAGTGATTGTGTAATAGGATGAGTACTGGGAACGCTTATGGAGGGGAACACGCAATGGAAACGGGAGGCAAGTCGAGGGTTGGAGTTATTTTTTGAATCCGCTTGATGCTGGCTTCTTGACCGGTATGTTTTTACTTTGTTTTATTGTTAGTTGATTTTGCCGACCTTTGTTGTGACTAGCGATAGATGGACGGGAGAGCTGTTACGTCGTTTGAACACGACTGACTCGCCGACGTTCCACGGCCATGGGACCTCGCCTCCTCATAAATACTTCACCTTGAATGTGAAGGTTAGTGTCCCTTTCTCTTCTTACATGCAACTGCTCAATAGACGACAGACGCTGGGCCGTTGTAGCTGTTATAAAATAGAGCGGATACGGGGCCAAGGTGACTGGGTACGACAGGGTGAATATCTTATCACCACCCGCCCTTGTACATACTAGGGTAAAGGGTCAGATCGAATTTTTTCGAGGGAATTTGTACGTGATCACAACATTTTCTCTCTCATCCTCATCTTCACCCGTTCATGTGTACCATCCAGCCTGAAACAACAACTCCCCTTCGACTCTGCACCTTCGACCTAATAAGAATGTCATGCGTCACACTCTGCGTACCCACAGACTCATGGGCACAGGTATTCGAAAAAGTCTATCGCGTACTCGCGTACTCGCCCCAGGTGGACGATCGAAGATACCATCATCTTCCCGCCCCAACCAAAGTTAAACGCTATGGCCTACTTTGTGGTGTGGCGCTTGGTCAATTGCACGTGTCCTCCACGGAGAGATTTTAGTGAGGTTGTCAACGGCGGAAAATTTTGTCTGCTTGCGTCCTTCTAGCTCGTTTACACTGTACGGAGGTAATAGTTAGCCTGAGGCGACGGCGTTTACTAATGACGAGCTGGGGTGATCTTTGGCGTACGTTGATTCCTTGAATAGAGATGAACCCACGGAGTAGGAGTTCGTATTGAAAGAAATAAAAATGCAAAATGCGAAGCAGAAGAGCAACGCAGATGAAAACTTACTTTGTCGAGACCGTCCTAACGTACTATGCCCTACCAGCACCTCGGCGCACCCTACGAGTCGGCGGTCACTGATCGTCACAAATTTTGGCTGGACAAGCGTGACTCCCAATTTTCAAGTTATCACGTCCAGCAAAATCTTGTGACAATCAGTGACTTCCGACTCGTAGGGTGCGCCGAGGTGCTGGTAGGGCATAGTAGTCAAGATCAGGTCCCGAATCAAACAAAAACAGGGTAAAACTATTCAGAAACCCCCCTTTCTGGTAGAAACCCCCGTTTCTGGCATAACCTTATCCAGAAACCTGTATACACTGGGGGCATTGGCCTATTTATTCATGGAAGATATGAAGAATAAATCAGAGATAAAATAATAAATTATTCAGGGATAATATCAGCGAGGAAATGAAGAAGAAATTCAAAATTTCTTCTTCAATAACATCACCATCTGACTACAGCTTAGATCGTGAATATAATAAAAATATCTTCCGAAGATGAAAGGCCAAGGATATGCGGAAGGTATTGTGACACGTCACGCCTTGCACGTGCCTTGCAGGCCTGACTCCCCAAGCTATTGCTAGTGTTGTTGGCAACTTCTCGCCAGCTCGCCATGCCAGTTTTGCCAGCTGGCAATTGCCGGCTGGCGAGTCAAAAAATCAAAAAAAGGGTGGCGAGACCTGGCGAAATCTGTCAAAATTTCAGAGAATTACAGACATTTATGGGTGCATAAAGTATCATCTATGGTTTCCAGTGTCGGAAAATTCTAACTGCAGGCCAAACACCCCAATTTCCCTTTGAAAACCAATTGTTGTTCCTGATTTGGACACTCCAATCCATTGATCCCATCCAATTTTGACCTTTACATTACTGATGCAGACCCAAAGTTGACCCAAAGCCCTCAGGAGTGACGAAAAAATGATTGCCATGCCTGAGAAAAAAAATCAAAGATGATAACAGGATACTACCTTGAGCAAAACGACAGAAATTCAAATTTTTTCATTTGCCAGCTTTGCCAACATTTGCCAGCATTTGCCAAGCTCTCCCCTACTTGACTCGCCAGGGCGGCGAGTGGCGAATGCTTTCGGAGGTTTTGCCATCCACATTAGCCATTGCCACTCTTCAAGTGCTCTTGTTTTATTCTTCTGCTGTTCATTGGGAGTCTGTTCTTCGCTCAGGGCTCTCAAGTTCTTCTGTTTCCTGTCTCTGGGGAGGCGCAATGCCTGCGAAATCAATTTGTGTTTGCACCTATTTGGTCTCCCTATACATGGACGAGAATCAAGGAAAATCAATATTCTGCGTGACCCAGCACAATATCTGGAAATATTGATATACAAATTGGGACTAAAACAAGTTTTTTAGGGAATGGCCTGAGAATTTCCAAAGCAAGTCAATGATGAGGTGTAGATATCTCCCTGATCTATGGGGAGCAGTAAGATTATTTTTGATATTCTCGGGCCATTCCCTGAACAATCAAAAATAAAGTGTAGTCTTACTATAAAGTGTAAGGCCCATTGCCTGTGCAAAGTAGTTATTTTGTTTTCAAAACTGCCTGTGAAATGTGTTAAATTAGATTACATAATCACGCAAAGGAGGCATCACATCGCGTCAATGCATCGATGATACACATTCTCAATGACTATTAGGGCCACTCTACATTATCTCTACTACCCAAATTACTCCCAGAAACTTTTCATGATGCAAAGCATTGCCCAAAGGCCAAAAGTGGTGCTCCAATGCACAAGGCAGATCTCGCTTGTTGGCCCAAAAGATGTGACAAGGAAGTGGAAAACACGGTGTCTTCATTTGGAAAATTTTATATGACCTCAAGCATGAACTATCTGACTACAAACAGCAGATAAAAGGCCAGAAAACGAGCCTCATTTTATGACTTTGACAAGACTCTGACTATCATGATGACCTAGCATAGTCACCAATTCAATTTTACCGCACATTCACATTGTGATCTAACATACATACATTTACTATGCCTTTACCAGCCTAGAAATTGTAGTGGAACATGAGGAAATTATTTGGGAAGATAAAACGAGACATTTGGCAGGATTTGTGTGGCTGTGCACTTAGTCATCCAGTCAAATCAATTGCAGGCATTGCGCCTCCCCACACTGTCTCTTGACTACAGTCATGCACGTGCCAATGACACACCCAAATCGTAGAAATCATGCAATGAAAGGAATAAATAGAATTTCACAAACAAAAAGGTACAACAGTATCAATGTGTATCCCAGCTACAATATGAGAGTGATTTTAAAAGAAATGAGCAAGATTTGAGAGCAGGGCAAAGGAATTGGAGGTGGCTGAGGTGAAACCGGAATTATGGGTCAATGGTACAGAGCCCAGCCTGCCTAGCCCGTTCAGTCATTGTTGTCATTGTTGTATGCCCGATTATTTCATCTATGACAACTGTTGTGGGGTATACAACCACCTTCAATTGACTAATGACCCACTCCTCAAGGTTGTAAGATTTCCTGTCGATGCATTTCACTTTGATTGCAAACACAAAAAGACTGACATCGTTTGTCAAGAGCACTGCAACCCCCAAAAATTTCCCGAGCTCATCAACATTGACGGAACATGGTATTTCAACTCCTCAAAATGTGAGCAGCTGAATGTATGGCTAGGTGGGTATCATGCTATTCTACGTGAGATGAATGCAGACCGGTACGAATTCTTGCTGGACGAGTTGATCATGAGGAAGAACAGGCTATTGAAAACAAAGCTAGAACACAATGGTTGCCTTCCAGGCTATATTCCAGATCTCAGATGTAATTCTTAACCAAAAGGTTGTTACCAGTATTTCGAGATGTATTAAAACAAACTACATAACCAAAATTTGACAAAGCGATCTAAATGACAACTAAATAGAAGAGAGGAGGAGAGGATCAACCCCACATTGGCTGTGCCTTACACCAGACAGTCCATAACCCTTCCTTTGTACGCGGTAGCTTCCGTGCCTGTTGTCGAGTGCTCTCCGAGAGGCCGAGCCAGAATTTTCTATTCTTGTGGTATGTCGACTCCTTCCAAACCATTCCAAGAAAGACCTGTAAAAATCGTGAGGCAACAGTCTCACTGGGTTCTCAGATCATTAGTAGATCAAACCCTTTCGCCATATTGCGAGCATACATTCCCTGTGGCCAGACGACAGCCGCTCCCTTTGGAGTTGGTACTGTCCCAAATTCCCATTCGAGATCAGGGTTGTGAGGGGTGCCGGAATTGTCATTGACGGCACAGTTGGTAGGTGGCAGAGGTGGAGATGAAGATCGCGATGGACTGGAAGGTGGTGAAGAGAGTCCTGCATAATTGTGAGAGTAATCTCTACACGCAGAGACAGTTGAGTGCACGGGAGACAAGCCATTGTCCAGAGAACCTTTGACCCTGCGCTTCTGAGAGCTCCGTGGTAGTTCAAAATGGGTTGGTGAGAGGTATTCGAGCAAAGTGCACGAAGCTGGACCACAAGAGACAAGCTCCTTCCGCCTCATGTAGATTTTGTCATTGGTGCCCACCAGCAATGCATGGTCCATCATTGGTATCCAAATGGTGTTCTGGGGGTCAAAAAGGCTGAGATCAGAGAGATCAGACAGTCCAAGTTTTGCAGCGAGAGATGGAATTTGGCTTAGATTCAAGGTGGGCCACGTCTTGATGTCTTGAAGTGGGAGCATAGTTGGTTGGCCATCAGTGTTGAGGTATGCAACTAAGAGGACAGAATGTTTCATCCGTCATTCGTTTTCATTTCGCGATGCTTCTGCTTGTTGTCGTACTTTGCATTCCTCTCGCCGTCATTTGTAATCTTAAGCTAGAGCGAGCGGAACTGGTTTCCAGAAAGAAAAAGCCCCAGAAACTGAAGCAGCAGGCAATTCTTTCAAGGGCGGCGTGTTGCCAAGAGCTGAAGGTGCAAGGACATCAGGACCCAGAGATATGGAAATGCTGGCAGTCGTCAGATGTAAAGGCTCCTGAGGGAGGGGGCGAGCGAGGTGAGCGGGGTTGTCAGAGACAGAGACTGGTCGACGACCGTGGTTGTGGTTCTTGAAGAAGAAAACAACAATGGCTTTCTCACAACACGCCTTGCACATTTGGTTGTTGCATGACCCTGCAGCAACATGAGTGCATGGCGCCTTGACACAGCGTGCCTTGATTGTCTTCTGCGAAGATGGCAGGGGAGGGAGGCTGACTGTGCATAACGGTTCGACAGGCACTGAGATGAGATGAAGAGCCGGGTCGAGCCATGGGGCTGGAGGATCCTTGAGGCCGCCTGTGAAGCTTGTAAAGAGTGACATTTGCAGAGAAATAGCAACAACAGGAATGGGTTGGGAAAGGGCAGGGTGAAGCGCTCGCAGAACATTGAACCTGCTGGGGCCATGAGAATCTGAGAACCATGGCTAACCCTGAAGGCTCCAATGCCAAACAACCCACACTACAGAACCCGATCAATGACACAACAACAACACCCACCCCGAACTCCAACCCATTCCCCCTCCCACCCTGGTACACCAAAAGTGCGCACTTTGTCCGACAATGGTGGCCCAGCCTACCAAACATCCCACGCATAGGGTCCACAGTTGTCTTATTGGCGGAACACAACCAAGTGAGCCATCGTCTGCACTTTGTGCTCGCGCAACATTATTTTCGGGTGCTGGTCAATCACGTTGAGTGGGATAACTATAATTTGTACAGGACTGCTTCTGGGCTTGGGGTGAACAGCGTGACCCCTCCTCCTCTTCGCCCTTCCTCTTCCTCCTCTTCTGGATCCCAACTTCAGTCCCTCACCACATCCACATCCACATCCACATCCACCACATCGTTGAGCACCCCCACACAAATAGTGCAAGACGACGGACCGATGCACCTCTGGTACATCAGCATGCCATTCGAAGTGGTCCGCATGTTCGATGTGATTTATGAAGAAGACTATGAGGATAGAGGGATGCCTGATCGGCCTAGATCGTTGGTACAATGTTGGTGGCTGTTGATTTTGAACATGCCGTTTGGATTGAGTATGTTGAGGGTGGGGATGTGGATAGGGCAGATGAGGGAGAGAAGTTGTTGAGGTTTGTGGTGTTTCCTGCGTTTAGGGATGAGTGGGAGTGTGAGAGGGATTTGAGGGCGGGTCGGGCAAGTGGGGAAGGGGGAGGAGGAAGAGGTGAAGTAAGGACGCTGGAGGTTCCTGAGGAGTTGAATTTGAGTGTGGTTGAGACGATTAATCTTGATCAGAGTCAGGGAGTGGTTACCCTTTCGGATAGGGATGGGAGGATCTTTATCTTGTGTTATGAGTAAATGTGCTTTCAGTTGTTCTGGAAGACCTCGATCGACGCAGCTGACCATCCAATTCGACGATGGCCAGCTGCCCAGTCCTCAACTACCTAGAAATAACATCCTCTGTTTGTAACACCTGCCTCAGATTATAACCCTTCCCTCCCCCCTTCTTGGTGCGATGTACTGCAGTTGTCACAGAAACTTAAAGTGACACCTTGATGTTCTCTTCCGAAATTTCGCATTTTTCTGTTCCTCAAGACACCGCCACTTCTAATTTTAATGTAGATTGACTTAAAACTATGCTTAGTTGCATAAAATACATTTTGATAGTTTCAAGCTTCTTCCCTCAGGTCTGTTTTTGCTGAGTTTGTTTACTAGTATTGAACAACAACTTCCAGAACCCAGCCACAACCGGCCAATTGCGGGTCATCAGGTGATTATTCTCATGAGAATATTCTCTCCCAGTCGATTCAACGCCCTCAGCGCTCGCCAGCGAGAGGTCACGTTTGGCAGTCACGTTCAATTCCGCGTGACTCTATGGACTCCCTGAAAATCTGGACTCCCGGACGGTTTTCAGATCCCATTTATTCTGCGTGAATATAATAAAAATATCTTCCCGAAGATGAAAGCCGAGGATATGTATGCGGAAGATATTGTGACGCGTCACGCCTTGCACGTGCCTTGCGGACCTGACTCCTGAAGCTATTGCCACTCTTCACTGGCAAGCGCTCTTGTTTTATTCTTCTGCCGTTCATCGGGAGTCCGTTCTTCACTCGGGGCTCTCAAGTTCTTCTGTTTCCCGTCTCTTGACTAGTGTTTAACGTTTAACTTCTGCTCATGTGTTTGGCTATTCGTCCGTTCTTCCAGTTGAACTCATCGTTCCAAGGGTTGGCTAGGGTTTTGTAGTAGGTTGCTGCAGAAAGCATTGGTAGTGAGATCGCTTTTGTGACAACTCATACAGGAACTTGATACTCGCGAAGCAGCAGAAGGAAGGTTTGCGAAACACCATGAGGAAGTTTTTAATGGGTAACAAGATTCGTGTGGAATCATCCAAGAATTATCCCATGGTACTGACGGACTGAAAAATACGCTGGTGGTCCTGGCGCATGCTTTAAATGTGGTCAAACGGGTCATTGGGCGAGTTTTGCTCAATCGGTCGACTTGCTTTTTTCGGGGAATGTCCAAATCACAATGGGTTGTAAGTTTCTATCTCTTGCGAATGTCTGAGCCAACAACCCCTAGAGCTCAACGTCGGCACCACATTTAAAGTCCTCTCATTGTTCGCATTCGACGAGATCATCCTGTCCATCCTGCAAGATTACCCCTTCCTCGAGATCATTATGGTTGCTACCCCTTTGACCCCCCTCGAGACCTTCGTCTCGCGCAACACATTTACCAGAATATTCGGATTTACTGTACGCTTTTCCCTTCCTGATTTTAGTTCCCCGCTGACCTTCACAATTAGGGCTCGCTTTTCAAACGTACTGGAAAATTGTACTTTTCGGTTACGATACGTAGGTCAACATCGAATATTTGTTCTTAGCGGAAGCTCATCTTCCCAACTCTCTAGCGGTATTGCTGGAGGCGTTGTCTCGCAAACTTTTTTCAACACCGCTTCGGCTTGGTAAATGCCAATGGAACCATCAACACGGCACGCTCAAATGAGGTCTCTTCCAACGTTGTTTCCGTCTCCCAAGCTGGACCATTCTTTGGCGCTCTTATTAGCATAGCATTTCGGGTTCGATAGCTTTATACTCGAGAGCTACCGCATTCCTAACCCTCCCACAGCCCAGGCTGGTCGTAAATGGACTCTTGTTGGGTTTTCCGTAATCTTCGCTGTCGGAGCTGTGGGTTGGTTCCACACCGTCGCAGATCGCGGTCTTGGCCTGATCTATGGCGGACGTGTCATCTCGGGATTTTCCATTGGCGGTATATCCGCCGTTGCCCCCGCCTATGTGTCCGAGTGTTCTCCAAATAATGTTCGTGGGCGTATCACTGGTCTGTTCCAAATCATGGTGGCTCTCGGCTTTATGGTTTCACACTTCCTCAATTGTTCGTCATACATCCCCTCAGCCGACGGCGTCGTGACTGACTTTGTTTTCTAGATGGCATCAACCAAAGCGCTACGTTGATGTCCAGTCCCCTGATTTGGCGTCTTCCGTTTGGTTTCCAGCTTGTTCCATGTGGCATTATGTTGTTCGGCTTGCTCGCCGTCAAAGCTTGTCGTGGCTTTCCCTCATAGGATTCAGTCATTCATTGACACATTTTTCTAGGAATCGCCTCGCAGGAGGCTTTCTTCGGAAAAGGCAATTTTATTCGTTTCGTTATCACTTTTGTGATCTTCCTCCTCCAACAATGGGGTGGACAGAACTCGGTTGGGTGAGTTCAACTTGGAATTCAATGGCTGCATTTACCAATTTCATTTTTAGTTCCTACGCCCCTCAAACCTTCGCATCCCTAGGTCGTAAATTTTCTCTATTTATATCCTCAATGGGAATGGGCATTTTGTTTTTCATCATCGACGTTATCCTTAAAACAAACCCTTCTCCGAAAACCGTTTCAGTCAGATCATTAATCCTCCTCCCGCCTTCAAGGGTATGGCCGCTATGTTGCACATCTACGTCTGCTTCTATTCCTTGGGATGGGGCCCCCTTCCCTGGGTTTATGTTGTCGATATATTCCCAACTCGGACGCAACACTACTACGGAGTGCATCCCAATGGCTCTGTCACGGTACACGTGAATCATTATCGACTGACCAATCCTTTTCGTCTTCAGACTTCGTCACCTCTAAGGTTACGCCACAAATGGTCACAAATCTCGGTTACAAAATCTTCCTCATGTTTGCTACAGTCAATATCGGAGCGATGGCCACATTCTCTCTGTACGTTGACGGTCCACCGGTTCTTCTCCAGCCACCTGTGGAATCAGCACTCCCAGCCTTATTCCCAGAGAAACCAAAGGATATGGACGTCATATTTGGCTCTATCACGGCAGAACAAAGGCAGGCTAACATAACGAAACAAGAAGGTGCGTCTATTTTAACGACGTCCAACGTTGAAATCTTGTAACTTAGCATGCAATAGACGTCGAGAAGCACGAAGTCATGTTGAATATCGATGATAATGAAGGGTCGACGAACAGGCATTTCGATGCGTCATCTTCAAGATCTTTTTTTTCTTCTTTCTCCTCATGTTTTCGACTCCCAATGACTTGCCCAATGATATCATTGTCATGAGTATTGCCACACCTGCCGTTTCTCTTTTCATGTTATATCCCATCTGGTGTAGATCTCCGGTTAACCCCCACCGCCAGCTCGAGGGTATAGGAGACCACCCTCGCCTCGAGACTATAGGGAGTATTCGGCACCTCCAGGCCGTCATGAAGCCAATATTGCCTGCAGCAACTGGCGGATCTCTCGTTAAACTTGTTCACCTCTACAATCCCTTCTGTAAGGTTGATGGGGCCAAACCCCTTCAGGTTGGAGATGTCTGCAAAAGGCAGAAGCTCGCATCGTTTCCGCCATCAACGTGAACAAAGGAAAGATTACCAAGGTCAAAGGTCACATCTACCGCGAGGGCAACAAGGTCATCAAAGTCATCAAAGACATTTCTTCCTTCCTTTACCGTGTCGCTTCGTCGACTGCAAGTCACTTTTTCATTCACAAAGTTCAGACTAGCTCAGACTGCCCTAATCGAGTTTGAATCGAGTAGCATACACAACATTTTACGAGAAGATGTTGGTATTAGACTACGCTGTTGTCTGCAGGAGTAAGAATGACGCATGATAGATCTGATTTATAGCTAGTTTGTGCCATGTGGTCAAGACGTGCCAACACTGCGAAGCGCGTGTGCCACAGGACAGCCAGCTCATCGTAGACTATTCAAGGGGACACTTGAACCCCCCAAGAATTATCCAGTGTTCAAGTCACTCACTCTTCCATTCAACATGTTTTCTGCGGGTCGCCAAGGTGTGATTTTACGATTATTTATATTTCTGCTGACGTTGAACTCACCAGTCGCAGAAAATCGCTGTAATGTCGCAGCCAATCTTCCATCCTTCGAAGTTGAAGTTGAAGCTGAGAACATTGTTTACCCAATGTGTCCCGAAAGAATCAAATCGATACGTCGTTGGGTGAGCGATGTCGGTCAGGAACAGAGCCAACAGAACGTTCAGAGCTCACGCCGTATCATTTCCGGAGTTGGAACTTTCTCGTCGGAGAACTTCACACGAGAAACATTGCCCAATATTACCAGTTAGAATATCCTGAGAAAGTGCGACACTTTTTCTTTTCAGGAACATTCTGATTATATTTAAAGTATTTCATGTCGGGAAAGGCATGTATGGAAAGCAAGACTGATCTGCTCGGAATTCTCGGTTGCCGATTGATGGCCGCATATTTGCTAAGTAATATAATTGATTTGTGGTATTTGCACCACAATTACATAATATACAGCTATGTTGTTCAAGTGCCTTTCTTCATGGTCTACTCGATGCCTTCATCATGTAACAGGCAAATTACATCATGGCCTTGCTTGCTCGTCTGATATTCCACTTCAATTCATCCCAGGGCTTGACAGTTATATGAGTGTCCTTGTGATTTTTCCTGACAAGTTAATTTAAGGGTACAACTTGCATTTCTATGCGGCACTGTTTTCTTCAGCCAGCATTGAATCTAGTCACATGAATTATATATAAATAATCTTTCTTCTGTGGCGGATGATGAGTCCATCACCCATTTTGCCATTCACTGGAAAAGACTAAAGAAATTTACTATCTTGTTGTGGTCTATTCTGCCTGTAAAAAATATGCATTATTTTCTTGAAGGTCTCTTCAATGGAAGTATGATCCCCACCCCAGGAAATCCTGCAGGAGAGTGGGTTATTTATCAAAAGTGACTGAGGAACAAGACTCACCAGTTCAGCAATGTCTCTCATGTTTACATCCAGTCCAATGGTAATTGATTTCATCTTGAGGTTTAAAATTCCTTCTTTCACTTCTCAATCAGGTGGACCAATCAACATATAGAATGTGATCAAGTCTTCTGGGGCACATCACAGTGTCCTATCATCAAATAAATTATCACAAACAACACTGGGTGTTGGGAGTTTCATGATAACTTGGAGGCAGTTGTTTGCTGCAACAACAATGCCCACAATTTCTTGCATAGGGGTGCTCATGGTAGCCATTTTTGATTCATTTTTTGTTCATTTTTGTAGACATAGAACATCAAAAATGAAGTGAAAAATGAAGTGAAAAATGGCTACTGTGAACCTGCCCTCCTTGAAATTTTCGAAAATGAGATAAAAAATGAGTGAAAAATGGAACAGCCCATTTTTCGGCACCCTGGCAGCCTTGAACTCTGCACCTTGTTGCAGACCCCACCTTATCTTATCATTTCTCCAATAGTATCTGTCAGCTGCAATTCTTCCCTGAGCCTCAACTAATTGGTTTTCAGTCTATTAAGAGTAATTTATTTTGATTTTTTTGCTCATTCTGCAGTGCAAACGGTGAATAGAATAAAGTGGTTGTCATATCGGGAAAAAAGAAAAAGAACAGACAACACTGAAACGCCCTTCAGCAACTTGAAACCTGAACACAAAAAATGGATGAAAAATGGATGAAAAACAGAAACACATCAAAAATGGACACGATGGCTGTTTTTGAAAAATGGCATTTTTGGGATCATTTTTGATGTGTTTCTTTGCCCGTTTTTGATTCTATTTTTCAGAAAAACGAGATGAGAAATGAGATGAAAAATGATTCAAAAACAGTAACTGTGAACGGCACTAATGCCATCCACCCAGTTTGTTTGATAAACTAGTTACCACAACATCATGTGCAAGATGGCATTGCTAATAGAAAGTATGTGAAGTTGTGAGTGTGTCTATTCAAAATTATGTGGGGAGAAGCCTCACATCCTTTTCTGAATATTTCCTGAATACCTCTTTCTGAGTCAGCCACAAATTGATTCAAAAGGTGCAAGATCACAATGAGTCTGCATGAAAATTTGCACAAAATCATACTCATCTTGGGACTTTGGCAGTGACAAAATTACTCTGCTTTCACAAGCACAACCATCCCTGCATGGTCTGAGATGCCACCAGATGCCATTCCATGATTGGAGGCTAGTCTACTGTCATCTGAGAGCTGTGTGAGGCTATAGGGTGGGCTTTGTTGCACCTGGAAGCATTGTAGTGTATTGGATGCAGCAAAACTACTTTAGCACTGACATAGCCATGCACTCAAGATGCTAATGCTTGGAGGTTGGTTGGAGGATCATTGTGTGATGTTTCTTCAAGGAAGTATGTGCAAATGTGCCTCAGTGTTGGTGTATTTTGTCAATTTGAGCCTGAAACATCTTGGGAACATCAAGTAAGTTGATTTAAATCTGTAATTACATTGCAGAATTACTGATATTCTTTAAATTAATAAGATACCCAGTAATGATATGTGTTCCGACAGTGCCAATACTTGATGGATGTTAGACGGCAAGACTTGGGCGATGGCTCCGTGAAATTCTTCATTGCAGATTGCATAATTATGGTACAAATACCACGAATCAATTATATTACTTAGCAAATATGCGGCCATCAATCGGCAACCGAGAATTCCGAGCAGATCAGTCTTGCTTTCCATAGGCATGGGATTTTTTAAAATCCAGGCCAAGAACTTTGCTTCGCCTTTACCACACCTGTAAAGGGTGAACAAAAGCTGAAATATTCAAAGCATTTTCATGTTAGTGAAATTGTAGTAAAAGTTAGACCGATGGGTAAGATTAAGAGGAAAGCCGAAGCAAAGGGATCCTTTGTTTTCAGACGTGATGCAAAATTGATACATGCTGATAAAAGGGGCGGGAAAGGATGAAATTTCTGAGAAAGGGCTCTTTGTTCAGATGATGCCACATAAAAGGCAAGGTGTGCAGGATCTGTTCAACTTTCTTTGGATTTTACTAGCGGGAATATTCAAACAATGGAATGGCTTTCTTCTTTGTGGAAAGGGAAAGAATTAGATATAAGAATGAGTATCACCCTGCATAATTATTAGCCTGTCCTCGCAATATTCCAGCCCGGAAAAAGTGTCGCACTTGCTCTGGCTACCCCGATTTGGGATATTGGGCTATGTTTCTCGTGTCACCGCTTCTAGTGAGAGAATATAGCTGATCGTCTGGACCGTGCTGCTCTTTACTCAATCTCGAAAATTCCAGGGTTCATCACACAAAGCCACCGTCATTTACATGTTCTCGACCTCCACAGACTGGCAATTCCACCCAAATGCGACGGGGTCCAAGAGCCACCGTACAGAGCAGCGTGTTCCAAGATGCTCACGGTCTCAGCCTCGGGGAATGGACTTCTCTCTGTAACGTTGGTGGCTCTGTCCGCGTGATTCGTCGTCAAGATGGCGGTACAATGAGGAAAAGTGTCATCGTATATGATGGGAGAAACACCGCTGTTTTCAATTCAGTCAATGGCAGACCGATCAGTTTGAGGGAGCATGAGATTGGCTACCCTTTTAAGACTCACCATATGATGTGAGTGGCTTCCAGCACCGAGAAAGAACGTTCAATTATGATTGTCAGCTCCATTACCCCGAATACAATCAAGGCTCACAGAATTTGAACACAGTCAATGCACTTCCAAAGGGTCTTCCTCCCCGCCATCTTCGCAATCGCATTTGCATCATTCCCCATTGGAGCTAGACGTCGACAATTTTAATGCAATTGAACGCAACCATGCGTGAATGTAGACAGAGGACTTAGCAATACGCTTTTTTTTGCATCAATTATGGCAGAGGCTTGTAACGAGAAAGCGGTTCTTGAGGAGGTTAGTTAGAAAACAATTTATTATTTTTGATGACATTGAGATATGTGACAAGATCAATGTGTGACTTGACAATTTCTCCTTCTCCCTGCTCATTCTTCACCATTCCTTACCTCTGTCTTGGTTCGATTCCAAGGGATTTGAGGGGGGAGTGCACGGTGAGAGCCACGGCGTACTCAAATAATCGTTCTGACCGTCATGAATTCAGGTTTTACATGGTAAAATACAGTGGTCTTTCGGCTAAAAGACGTTATTGAGACGTACGTTCAGCCCGTCTGCAATGACTGCGGTGGAACGGTCATAAAGTACGACCATGCGGCCGGTAACGGTTTTTGTATCAAATGTGCAAATGTTGTCGAACAAAATGCGATCGTGAATGAGGTCACATTTGGGGAGACGTCGAATGGCGCGGCGATGGTACAGGGTTCGTTTGTGGGGCAAGGAGCTAGTGAGTGTCGTTGTGTTTTGTTTATATTCACATCTGATCTTTACGGAGTCCATGCAAGGATCAGCGGGCCTGATGGTCATAGAGGGATTAATGAGTCATGGGAGCAGATGATAGCAAATGGTGCGTTGATTCTTCCTCGACTCTACGCTACTTACCTGCATCTTATAGCCAGCAAGAAGATACAGAGTATAGCGAACATATCAAGACTCTTAGAGGTCGTCTGTCTCGCAGCAAATTTTACCAATGGCTGGAAGAGCCTAAACGTAGTGGCAGGATGTCTCTACGTGGCGTGCCGTCCAACAGAAACCTGAAATTACATGCTCATTGACTTCTCGGATTTGCTTCAGGTATATTTTCTGTGTTCACCCTCCACGTCATCTCAGCGGACAGTGGACACCACCTTCGAACTTGGCCATACATATCTCCAACTTGTACAGACTCTGAACCTCCGTGTCCCCCTTGTTGATCCATCCCATCACGTCTCCCCCTTTGCCGCCCTGCTCGAGTTTGGGAATGAAATACATAAGGTGGCCACCGACTCCGTGCGCCTCGTGCAACGGCTTGACCGAGACTGGATGATGCGCGGTTGGCGCCCAGCTGCCATTTGTGGAGCCGCCCTTATGTTGGCGGCACGTATGAACAACTTTCGGCGGTTTGTGGAGAAGTCCAGGTGGTGAAGATCGCGGACACCACCCTCAAAAAACATTTGGATGAATTCAAAGCGACATCAAGCGGGAGTCTTACTCCCGCAGACTTTAGGAATGTGTGGTTGGAGGAGGAGATGGCCCGCCGGTGTTCACGAAGGGAAGGGAGAAGGAGGAGGTCGAGAGGGAGGCAACTGAGCAGGGCTGCACTGAATCAACAGTGAATGGGAAAAAGAAGGCGAGGAAGAGGAGAAAGGGGAAGCGGAAAAGGGAAGAGTCGGATGAAGAACAGAAACCCAGGTGCAACGTAAGCTGCCTCCTGTCGACACGTCGCTGCTAAATCAGGGC